ACATTAGCAAACAAGAAACCTGGCAGTGAACCATTTTCCATGACCCTTGTMTATTCTTGGGATCCCAGAATGCAGAGGCCCATTCTACTTTTTAGTAAAACTGCAGAGCTGTATGTAATGTAGGCCTTGTTCCACACTTAAAATTGGCTGTATCCATTTCTGAAGTAACAGCAGCTAAGGCCTGTTACCTACGAAATAGAAATTGTTTAGAAAAGTAGCAGTCAGTATGGAACAGGTTCCATTCCGATTCATCATCAAACTGTGCTGTATCACTGTGTGGCAGAACACTGTAGTTTTGAGGGTGATAGTACAAGAAAAAAACACTGTATATAGCCCCTGCTCCTCTCTCATTTCCACTACACTGCAGCATGTGCAGACACTCCGTGCACTTGCTWCACGATCAGCCGAAGAGGGTGACCACTGCTGTGCATCATCCCTTAAACTGGAGTTTTGCCTTAAATAGTGTCACTGATGGATCCTACAAACACCCCCTTGTTGTCACAAGGAGTAAAGAGATGACCAGGTCATGAGTGTGAGAGAACAGGAATGCAGAGGCAACCTGAGAAGCAACACTTYGTGTACACTGCATACACTGTCTCGATATCTAATGTATCAAACTAGGCTTGATTATCCCTGTCCTAACTCTGCACTAGCTCTGTGTTCTGGCTCTTGGGTTGCTGCAGGCAGCTTGAACCCACTTGAAACATAGCACCCACTACTATTTGTTGTAATTTTGCTCATTTCTATTACAGAATTCCTTCTGTCTTTTTTAATTTGTAACTGGCTTTACAAGATGAAAGTTTAATAAATTATTGGATTGAACAGACTRTATTCACTTACAGGCATTGTGTGCCCATGTCAAGGTGTTTATTCGAAGCTTAACACTTGGAACTTTTAAGTAAAAAGTAGGCATCATCAGCATGAGGATACAACAGCCCTTTCTCCTAGAAGCAAATTTTGGGGTGAATAGAAAATAGTTTGCTGCTACAGTGGGGAGGGTTTCTTTCCAACTTCTGCTTTTATCTCTTGGGCTGAGTTACACTTTTGCTCAGTGGGAGGTGCTCCACTGGTTCTGAGTTGGCTGTTGGTGAAAGCAAGGAATTAATCGCCTCCAAAGGCCCAATCTGTTGGGTCAGCTCATACCTTCTCTTCAGCACCTCCAAAGTCACTAATAACAGAAAGTCACTTCTGGCTCAAATAAGCTGCCAATCTGCACTTCCCACAAAATTGCATGGCTGGGGCATGGTACTCACCTAAGAGCTTGTGTCACTGAAGTGGTAAAGCAGGACTGGGGGCAGCTGAGCTGTCAGCAGCACAGATGGACAATCCCACCAGCAGACCAAAGTTCCCTCAATCCATACACAGGTATGGAATCCAAGCAGTGATGCATAATCCCCTCATTATGCTCCCCTATATCCCATGGTCACATGCTCTGAGAGCCTCAGGACCCTGGAAATCAGTCTATGCAATATAATCTCCAACTATTCAGAGATTCTTTTTTCTCCATCTTTATCACATTGCATAGACTTTCCAGATCTTTATTCGAAGCTCCAACTACCTCTGCTTACTGCAAACTAGTCAAGTCTCCCTTCTGTGCAGCTGTTGAATTTCAAGCTGCATTTGTTTCATAAATACATCTCTTATCAAGACAACAAACTGCACTGCTGCAGGTCCAGCATAACTATAACAATACACACAATGCTTTTACTGAGKGGTAGCTGTGAATAAACACCCAAAGCAGTGGCTAGGTAAAAGCCTTCTCTGCCTCCCTTTTTCAGCCTGATCACACTGTCAGTGKGGCATGCAGTCCCTTGGTGACCCCACCCAAGTATTTCTGTAACAGTTACTTTGAGTGCTCTAATGACTATTTYATATGAACTAGTTCCAGGACAATTTATAATCTGCACCCACACCATGAAAACAAAATTGTTTATACACACAAAGACACTGCTGCCTCTGGCAAATTGTATCACCAGGTCATGTGTCTAGATATTACTGGGTGWAAACTTGAAATATTAATTTATACCTTGTTTTAAAACACACAGACTCTCCCTACATAGGCTGTGTGTTCTGTCATTACCCTGTGTATTTGCTTCGAAGTAGTATGCTACCTCTGGGCCTTTAAGCAAATCTCACACATGAATTCCAGCCCCRCTGCACCTCAATCACTGGGGTGCAAATTTGCAAGGCTCTTGGCTGCTTTTTATACCAGAGATTCCTAATGCACAGCTAGATATACACCTTGGCCCCATTCCACTGCCAAGACCGAAGTGAAGGATGGTAACTGGATTGCCAGTGACAGTCACTTACCCACGTGCTTGTTCAGCGCTGCTCCCAGCTGGGAGGAATCCATCCCACGGAGCAGCGGGCCTGAATGCAGCCCAGAGCAAACACATKCAGGGGGCTGGTTCCTGGTTCCTGCCAGACATTTGCTATCCAGCACTGGCTTGGGCAGCCCAGCCAGCTACAGAGCAAAGCTCTGGTGTTGCAGAGCCCAGCTGCACCCAGGCACATGTCTGGGGCCCCTCACAGCCCTCAGGCACTGGCCCCCAGACCTTTCCCAAAATGCTGAGGGYTCAGCATTACCAGTACAAAACATGTTCTTCCTGTAAGAGCAAACACTCACAAATCCTGAGTGACTATCATAGTGACAGCCTGTGAAAATAAACTCAGTTGGCTCTGTACAGGGTTAGACACTGGGCATAGTTTTTGAAGTGCCCTTAATAAGGCACACACATTAATAGGAACAACTTACATGTCTTGATTCTCCTGTTGCAGTGTGAGGCTGAAGGCAACTCCGCTGCTCCATGTTTGTGCCTTGTCAGGGTGTGCCCATGGGCACAACAGCATCTATAACAGGAGCCATCTCCTCCCASCTCTGCTGGGATGGCTGAATCTTGGTAAGCCACCCTCTGAGCAAAGTGATGCAGCAGAAGGCTGTGAGTAAGTACACAGAAACAGCGCTGRTCCTGCAAGATGAGACTGGTGTGGGGTACAAAGGCACTTAATCTGCATGGTAGGAGATACCCTGGTTGAAGAAGGTGTAGACAAAGTCCCTCGGGGCTGGAAGAGGGGAGAAGTGGCAGTTGTCCACAGCAAACTCCCCATTGTTGTGTCATGAGTACTGTGGGCAGGATTAAGAAACTTGCTCTCAGCTTTCTTACCCGCAGAGGAGGGGAACAGACCCCTCCTGCCAAGGTCATGGTGTCCTGCTGCTCCAGAATGTTCCAGCTGTCCACAGTGGCTKTTGCAGCCCTTTCCCTGCATCCCATGACAGTGCCATGGGGCTGTTGAAAGTGTTCATCCCACGTGTTTCACCCTTGTGGCTGCTGCTCCACAGAGGAAGTGGTGCTTCCTGGTGTCCTCTCGGGGCAGTTTGCACTGATGTAAGGCCGCGTGGTTGGATCTTGTGTCTGTGGTGGCGTGTTCTCCATTTGGTGGCTGAATATTCAGTGCTGCAAAGGAGGTGTGAGAGAGAAGAGGTACAAAGAAGAACAGTGTCCAAAGGAGACAACAAAAAATGGAATTTCAGAAACCCAGTCTATTTCCTCAAAGCAGCTCACAATGCAAGCSAAGGGCAAATGTGACTTCCCATTATCCACACACATCTGTAATTCACATTCGCACTTAACACAGGATGCTCTTCAAATACCCAGATCACGTTTATGAAAATAAAGACAATTCAATAAAAGAAAGCACTTCAGTTGCTAATGGGATGACATGCAATCATGCATATTTGTAAAATCATCTCAACTCACTACTTTGTATGTTTAATTTGAACACGCATGTAAGGCTTGTTAGCTTTAACAAGTGTAATATGGTTTTGTTCAATTATCTGCTCTATAACATCTCCTAAAGGGGAACATGACAAATGACATTTGAAAAGTTTTTATAGAAGGCAGGAGCAATACTCTTACTATCTGTATGAATGTCTGAAGACAGCATGCAGAGAAAGATCTCTGTTCTCACTTGTTCTATAAAAAATGCATGAGGGGCCAGTATAATGAAGAAAGCACATTTTGGCATAATTATTTCATATTGCTGAAATTTCACTTTTTAAATAATCACCCTGGAGTAAATTATTAATGGTGAAAAGTAGCAAAACAAAGAACTGTTGTACTGTTTGTAATTATAGTCCCTTCTGCATTGGCAAAGAGAAATCCATAAGGACTYACAGTCTGTGTTGCAGCACTGTGTCATCACAATAAAAACCTCATCTGGTATCCTCYCCTATCCCCTCAAATCTGTTAAAAATCTTAGTTACTGACAGATACTATGACAGAGTGTACAGGAGTTTTCAATGTGCAAATACCATTGCTGTGGTTTAGCCATAAAGAATATACCCAAGAAAACAGTATTTTATAAAGGCATTTATGCTATGCACCATTTGCAAGTCAATTTGCTATYAACAGAACATTGCCCTTTCACAGTACTTTGCCAACTCTCACAGTAAAACTCCAGAACTAAATGGGAAAGGTCCATTAGAGTGACAATTGAATTTGACTCTCCAGTAACTTCTCTGTTTTCTCCAAGCTTAGTTCTTTAATATTGCTCATAGATCTTGCACTAAAACTSTGCAAAGTTTGTTTAATTTGGTCCATAAAAACTTTATGGACTTCTTGACAAYAGAATGAATTTGAATTTTAGAAACCTGGGTGTTATATATTCCACTGTGCTCCATACACACAGCAATAGCAGATGCATGAAAGGCCCAAATCGTAGTTCTGACTTGTAGCAACAAAAATTGTAATTGGTCTTCATTTATTTGCAGCCACACCAAAAAAAAAATTATCACTGGCAGGCCATGCAATTTCCTTACTCTTTTCAAAAATATTTACATGTATAACATATGTCCAAAGCAACAAGCAGATGGTACATTTGGTTTAAGRGAAAAAATGCTGAGAAGTACAACAAAAGCATCAGGCCCAAAGGGTGCTATGCATAAAAACTYGTTGATTTCTATGTCAATWAAGTTATTGATGCAGAAACRCTTRAAATAAAAATACTGGCTGGTGKAGTGGCAGATGTGGATTAACCTTTCCATGACAGAGTCACCAAGGACCAGACAAAATTCAGGAAGAGGAACTGAAGGTGAACACTTTTTGCCTAGAGCTACCACAGCTGGCAGATAGTCTGAGCGTGGGATAAARGAGTTTTAGGATGCCTTCTCAACTGCATTGCTCTGGGACCTGGAAAAGCATTTCTCTGCTGCCATTTYCCTGTGCATCATCTTCAGTTTTAASATTAATGTTTGTGAAGCAGATGACCTTGTTAGTCATCTTGCACAACAGGATGTCTCCCAGCAAKCCATTACTGGAGCTAAAAATAACACTGCCCTTTGACCAGCAGTCAGAGASTTTGGAGATCTGGAATTCAGAGTTCAGACATCACTTAAAATAARTACATCTCATTCTTTAATTGCAAGTGTTACTTTGCCGGAAGTAGTTTTAACTTTGCCTTATATTAAGAGGTATTGTGGAGGGAGCCTTTGTATACTGCTCTGAGTTAATTTGGGCCTTGAGGTGCTAATGAACTACAACCTGATTAGAACAAAAAGGCACAGAGGAATGTTCCCTGACTGTGTAAATCTGAAGCGGCTTGATAAAAAGTTTTCAACTGCAAAAAGGAAGTTACCAGCATTCTTTTTAAATACATCAAAGATATTTATTACCTCTAAAGTTTTCTTATTGTGGTAACAACACTTACTGGCTTTAATTCTGACCACAGCCCCTGTGCTATGCGCTTTTTTACCCAGTGATTAATGARCCATACCTTAACTCTGACAACTGCTTCCATGGAAATAAAACCAGTGTAAGCAGTTGAGTGTTTTATTTAACTTTATTCTTTCAATAACAATACTGCCAAATATTCTTCCTGTGTATTKCAAATGGAGTGGGTTATTCACCTGCACTAAGGCTGTTGTGCTTCCACAAAAAAGAATAACCAGTGATTAGACAACTTTGGTGTGATGAAACAAACATAAGAAATGGGGCCTGAAAAAAAATATTTACATCATTTATAAGAATAAAATATACATTTTTTTAATAAAAAGTATATATCCTTTTGTGTTGAATTAGGATTTTACTAATTGCCACTTTCCATTTCAGATTCACACCTAAAAATGCTCAAAGTATAAACATCTATAAAACTAGTAAATCTCAAAACATGGGAACTTGTAAATAATTTTCCCCACTTATTACTGTAGTTAGAAAAAGACAATAACCAACGTTTTTTTAGTCCATTAAGTTAAAAGTCATTTGGCAAAGCACTTAGGCATATAAACTAAACCAGAAGACATCAGGAACCAGACTTTGCAACATTTCAAACACTTCTCATACCAGGGCAAGTAAAAGAATGAGCATTATTTTCATCATAACTACATTTTCTACAAGTTACCTCAGGAAAGCAAATGTTCACAATTGTGCCCAAAGTACCAAATAAACAACAAAAGTGCTTACTTTTTTGATCAGCAAACTACCACAATGGCTCCTTTACTGTGCCCCTTCAGGGTGCTGTTTTAAGAGGCTCAAAGTGGTACCTACAAGGAATTCTCTACTTCTCAACACAAAAGATAAACACTTGCTTATCAAAATAGTGCAAACAGGAACAAAGAAAAGTGCCATCAACGTAAGTAAACTGCAGGAAAAGAAGGCAGTTGAACATTGTGGCCTTGCTCTGCTGCTTCAGAGAAATCAGTAGTACTCTTCTCAGCACATCAGGCCAATGTATTCCTATTCACCACCTCACGCCACCACCACATGCAGAATGGATTTGGTCTTTGGCATAYCCTTCTTCATAAAAGTAAATGCATCTGTTCTTTGTACTGTGCATTAAAAAAAGTCAGAAGACTTTTTCAAAACATTAATTGATCAAATAATTGAGTAATTAATATATACAACTCTATCTTCCCTTTTTCCCTTTATAGCTTTCTTTGGAGTGCATAGGAAAGGCTACAGTGACACATCACATACAAAAATCAAGTTTAAGTTTTATGCAAAATACTCAAGTATTTTTAGCATTTATGTACACAAGTTTGTTYACCATATATTCTCAGGCTTTCCTTAAACATATCTTTTGTTTCTTGGACAGATAACATACTTCACCTATAAAGTTATAGGYTGGTAACTATAAAATTAGGCATTTAATCCTAGTATAAATAAGAGTACTGGGAGAAGTAAATTTTAAGTGTATTCATCAAAGTGATGTTGCATGAAGCATTGTTGGCATTAATTTGTTCCATCAAAAATTCCAGTAAAGAGAGATAATACTATAAATTAAAAAATAMAACAGAACTCTAAACACCTTGCATCTTAAAAGACTTAGGCCAAATATAAAGAATTACCATAAAACTGAATAAAAATTGCACTTATATATAAACGAACTAATTTTAGGGCAAATTAATAACGTGACTTTTCCAAAAAGAAGTAATAAAACATCAAGTAGCTCATTTCTTATGGCTTCACACAGTGAAGTTCATACTTAAATTCWTCAGAAGTAAGTTTTTCAATAGCTATCTTTTGTGAACATATCATCAGTTTCWTCATCATTCATCCCTCTTTGATAGCGTACTGAAGAGAAGGCACTCCAGTGAAGACGCTTCTTTTTGTAGAGGTACCATATCAGTCCAGCAATGAAAAGCAAGATTATCAGCAGGGCAAATGCTACAGCCACACCAGTATGATTAGAACCTGAAACAGAATGAAAGACAAATGGTTATTAAGAATTTTGGCAAGATTATTTTGTCATAGGGTTGACACTTAGGTAGCTACACACTCATACTGCTTCCTCTTCCTCATATTAATAGTCTTCACTTCATTATATGGAAAGTTAGATGCTGATTCCCAGGAATGCATTAGCTTATTTTTAATCATTCTCTTGTTAATTTACAAATATTTATGTTGGAATGGACCTCTAGGGTTCAAAAAAACTACTTGTAAATGCTGCACTCATTTACAGGTTTGTATACTTCATAAATATAATGAAGGTAATTATACTCCCTTCAGACTCAAGAGATCTCGTTAAGGTCTTCTTTAGTGGCAAAAAGTTCAATCTATTCCTGCATTTCTGCTTCAGTGAAAATGCATACAAAATCAGAAAGATTCCACTGCTTCTCAAGAACTTGCTTGCTTAATGCTCAGGTAACTCCTTGCTTTCCTGTACAAAGCCAAATATAAGGAAATAAAGGCCTAAGTCTTTTGCTGGAGCTATGGGGTGACATGTCCAAAAGGCTCCTCAAGACTGAAAACAGTCTGCAGCACCAGCTACTCAGCATCTCACAAGCAGAACTCTGACTCCACCTATACAAATGCACCTTGAAACATACCCTGTGGTAAGAAGCAGGGGAGTAGGTAAGTAGCAGCAACTACTCTAGACTCTCTTTTAAGTGGACATTGCAGTTCCCTCCCTTACCCTCTGAGTGGATAGTGAGAGCCAGGAGAAGTTAATTCCTAGGCAGTTTGTCTCTGAATCCAATTTTATGGCTACACAACAAGAGAAGACTCTTGCTTAGGCAGAGTACTTGATGGGTTCTTTTGTCAATTGCATATCCTTTGTTTCAACACAGACTTCATCCAATAAACCAGAAATTCCTGAAAACACTCTCTACAAAATTAAGTCTCTGCTAAAAACAATGCTTCCATACCTAAAGGAGCTTTACAAACCACTCTGCTTCGACTACGTCCACAGTCAACTTTGGACCACATGCCAGTTGAGGACAGGATAACACTACATTTTTCATTGGCTTCTGCAGTTTTATTCTCCCAGTTGACATAATTAACTGATGAGCCATCCAGCCAGCTGAGGGAATGACCTGTTTGGAAAAAACGTTGCTTAGTCTAGATCACCAAAATGTCCTGTAATGCTACACAATGTCATTCACAATTTATTKATTTCTTTACATTGCTAAAAGGAAAAGGGCTGACTACACATCCCATATATTAAAAGCTGTGAATATGAACACCTACTTTTAGCCACCCCTCTTCTCTAGACCTTTAGCAATTGATRCATTTGCATCAACCATTAAGTACCAGTAATAGCAGTAGGAAGTATTCATTTCAGGACCTCGTGATTACCCTAATGTGTGTCAGGAAGAGACCTGACTACAATGAAGTCCAAAGGGCATTAAAGTTTTAAATGAGGGACTCCAACCTCAAGTAGAAGTTACTATAAGCTACTCTTATTCGAGGATTTATGCATTTATATTTACAATATGAAACATTTATGCTCATACACTGTCACTACTTCTTACCCTTATAGCTCTGATCCAGGCCAAGCCATACGTTCTTGGTGATGAGATCATGTTCCTTTATGTGTGTGCTCACAAATGCATTTTCTTCAGCATCCACTATCGTCAGAAGGGTTGCTGAAGGATCTAAGGGGCAGAGGAAATGAGTCAGAATTGCAACCTACAAGATTTTTCATAGTGCTGGTACACTGAGTTTTCTGTAGGAACGATTACTATGGGAAAGGATTTGCTCATCTGGGCTTGTAAAATTAGCTTGGAATAACCTTTAGAATAAAGACATGAACCTCCCATCCCCTAAAATACATCATGTTATATGAGATGGCTTCAGATGACTGGTTATTCTATTAGGTTATACAAAATAAAACTTACTGCAGCTGCAAACGACATACATATCAAGAGATATGCCTGTTGAGAACTACCAGTTTTGCCCTGGTAACAGGCCCTTTCAAAAACATATTTGAACAAAAGCTCAGCAGTTTGTTGAGTCAAGTTAATTTTTAAGTCACTCCCCTCAYTGTGCCTCAGGTTTTTATGTACAGTAATTAAGGAATAGAAGAGGGGAAAGGATATACTAGAGAGACAAATACAAGCCAGATACTTTCTCTTTCAACTACCAGATCAAGTTSGATTCAATAGAAAACAGTATCCAGGACTGATTCTGTCCAATGTCACACCATAAGRTAATTCCATAAAATAAATTTATAACAGTCACTGACTTCTGTATTAGGGTGATTAAAACTCCTGTATATAAATGTGTTTAACATCRTCTCTGCAAYATGATTACCCAGATAKCTCAGCAAAAAAAGGAGAAAATTCTTTAACAAGACATAAAAYGAAGCTTTTTACATGCTCTAGTAAYKGTAACAYACATGCTTTGAACCATTTGATAGGTTAGCAAGCTCCCTACTAGCAGGAAGCTATGGCAAGGTTGTAAGAATGCACTGCCAACAGSACTAACTTTGCTCACAGATAAAATGTTTTCCTCCAAACTTCAGCCTTAAATTTCTGAATCTTCTACAATTAGCTACATGCATTTTATTTGCGCACAGATATCTGTGTGCCAAACAACCTGTTTCATGTTGCAGCATTTAATTAAGAATTTTCATCAGATATGCAGATCTTGCTATTGCCTTTCCTAAACTAAAGGAGCATAAAAATGGCAAAGTTGAAATATAACCCACATAAGTTTTTATCTTGTTGGGTTTTATTTCTTCTCAAATAGTGGACTAATTACAAGTGTAATGTGATAAACTTACTCAGCTTCCGGCAGATTCTCTTAGCCTCTTCCATGTTATACACGGAGAAATTGTAGAATGCCATGTCAAAGGCGTAACAGTGATCCCTGTACTGTTCCCACTGCAGGGACCCACTGCTCTGCGGGCATCCGGGGGCTCTACTTGCTTGCTTTGGCTCAAATTGTCTCTCTGCAAACACAAAGAAAGTAAAGTGATTTCTGCTGCAACAGTTCGTGCACAGTCTCTGGAATAACAGGACAGTAAATATCAACAAGCACCACTACTCCTACCAACAACCACTATTAAATTAGCTTACATTTCTTCTTCATGAGTCATAGATGAATCTATTTGAAAATGAGCCTAGACAAATCCCAAAGGCTTGTTAACAATTTTTTTCTTGTTTTTTTTGTGGATTTAGACATTTGCTGTATGTATTTGATAAATAATTTGATTTATGCATTTGATAGTCATATCACAGGTGATCAAGAAATAACCAGGTTGATTTAGGTTTTCACCCCTGGAATGATGAAAATTAAAGGTGTTTTATCATTCCTGAAAGAAWACTCTTCTTAAAAAGGGAATCGTGCAGTCTTTCAATCTTCATTTCTACTTCTAAATACAACACATAAAGATAGAATATGTAAGACAACTGCACAAAACCTGAAAAAAAAACCACTTACTGTTTGGAGGGCTATAGCAAATGGCACCTTCAGCAACATTTGTACATTTTGTACGGTTCCAAAATCCTTTAGTATCCAGCAGAACACAGTTCTCAGTAGTATTTGAGTTTTCTAATTCCCAGGGATAGTAGTCAAAATCACTTCCATCAGACCATTCAAAATTAGCTTTACTTCCCTAATTCAAGAAAAAAACCAAAACTTTTAAACCATGTATGATTGTGGTTTAAATCTCATCAGTCTTTAAGTCATTTAGCAATAGTTGTCCCTTGCAGAGTGATAAATTAAAAAGCAGTTTTCTCATCTGAATTCACAACATAGTTTGCATTTTCTTAACATAGAAATTTTTACTATTTGTGGGAACCGAGAAAGTATAGCATGCTCACAAGTTTAAACCTGCAATGTGCCTAYTTTATTCTATGTGGAACATTTTACTTAGTTCCACCCTGCTGTTTCAGTTAAGCAGTCTTCTTCCMTGATATGAACATTAGTGGATTTGTTGCAAACTGCTGAACCATTGAGATGGCCTCAGTGAATAAAACTGGGCAGCTCAGGAATGATTTGCAGTGCTAGCTCCTACTTCAGATACACTCCTAGAAAACCATGACAAYGAGGAGTCAGTTGAGAGGGACCCCTTCAGGTCACAGCACAGGCAGAGGGAGCACAGGTATGCACAGAAATGACATACCTCTGCAGAGGGTAATTCTGCCAACTAATTCCTGTGACCAGGTCTGGCGATTAGTGAGGGGAGCAGGGTCAGGGCCACAGATYTTTAGCTCCATGGTAAAACAAACAGAGAAGGAAGATTATCTGCAGCTGCCTCTTGATTTGTGTTTCCTGGGAGAACAGATGCTTAACTTACTGAGAGCTAGTTCCTGAACTGCTCTAGAGAGCCAGTACTGATCTTGACTAAGCAGCTTCCACACAGCCTTGTCTATTTTCTTATGAAATCTGATTCTACAGAAGGCCATAAAATCTGAAGCCTCCATGGTTAGCACTGCAAATCATACTTCTTTGTACTCCAAGGAGTGATGAGGGAACACTATTATTTTAAACTGTCAGGTATTAGGAAGAAACATCTTAGTGTCCCTATATTCACCAAAATTTAACATTAACACATTACACAGGATTAAAAATACACTACAAGGAAAAGAGATTCTAAGAAACTGGGAAAAAGCATCAGAAAATATTCTGTATCTTGTCCAAAATATTATTTACAGATGTTACTGATGTTCCCAACAGTATATACTTACATCATGAATTGACAAGCCAAGCCACAGAGGATAACCATCCTGTTTGACAATATCTTCTAGAAAYAACTGTTCTGATTCACTGTGTACACTTGCTAAATCACTCTTATTTCGTTTGCATGATCTCAATGCCTCATACCATGTTAAYTTTTTCTGAAGGATCCTGTATGTTCTGTTACCATGTGGAATAGTCTCAGGCAATGGAGGCTTGTGCTGTTGGGGTCCTATTGCAAAGAATAAGAAGGTAAGTTGTGTGCATTTCTTTCGTGTTACTAGGAAGATACTGAAAGCATTCAAAACCATCTATATCAATGTAACTCAAACATTAAAGGGCTTGGCACAAGCCACTTATATGAAGTAAGTTTACTTCTGCAGCTTTGAACACTGAGTTCAGCAATTGCTGGATGAGCACAGCAAACACATTTCTCCTGATCAGAGTGYTACAGCAGTGAAGCAGACAGACCACATGACCCCAGATGCTCAAGACATCTGTGCCATATGTTCCACTAGGAGCAAAACCAAAGCCTTATTCAGCAGGAACCATGATTTAAATTATGACCCTCATCCAACACTCCAATAGTACTCACCCCTTTCGATTTTGCAAGCGAGAATACTGTACATGTTGTAGTGATTGGCATGCCAACTTTGAGAATAATTATAAATATCCCAAAACCCATCAAGATTTACACCAGCAAAAAAACTGTTCTTCTTTATGATAGGTCTCCCCAGCCTCCAGTTATTGTAAGTCAGATGAGTTTCATCRTACCACTTGAGAACTTTATCTGTGGAAAACATTGCATTTTTATTAAAACAGTGGCATTATGTCCACAAATACCATTTAACTTTGAATATATTACTGATWATATTAACAGATGTTCACTTTGGAAAAAGTGCTATGATACTGGAAGTTACTCTAAATCAGTTCCATATCCAATGCTAAATACATTAGCATTGCTCATCCTGGCCACTTTAAGTCCTGCTTTCCAGAGAAATCAAATCTAAACTAAACAGAACATACTCAATTTAACTATCATTCAAATAGACAGCATGTCAGGTTATTTCCTTCTTGAAGACAAGTACAAATATAAATTGTTGTTACAGGTTTGCACTCATTTTGACTTTAATCATAAACTGAAGCATAAAAGAAACATACATTTAATGCTGTAAATTTGGTCTCCAACCCAGTTAATAAAAAAAGTAAACCCCTAAGTCTTACCACTGTCATCATAGATCACACCCAGCCAGACCCACAGAGCCAGACCGCTGAACGAATGAAGCTGCTCAGTAACAAAGCTATTCTCCTCTTCATCTCGAACACTCAGAACAAATGCTTCAGGGTCTGTTGAAAATTTTTTTACATTASTTTCTTACAAATTCACCTTTCAGTTACAAAATAATTTTTTTTCTGTTACTGTTAATAATTATTACAGATAGGTCAGCAGTGTGTAAAGGCCASATCTTTATAACAYAGCAATTAACTGAACAGTGCAAATRCMATTTTCAAATGTACTATCAATGGTACTTCCTCTGGTTTTGTGGATAAGAAAAAGACTTGAGCTCCAGAGATATTTGTGGGTCCTACTGCCATTTCAAATTGTATGTAGTAAAAATTCTCTGCATAGAACAYAAAAATATCAGCAAACTTTCATGATTAGCTTGAACTGCTCTAGGAAAGAAACAGTACTAAGAACAAGACTGAACTGAAATAAATTCACAGAAAGATAAAACCTGTTTTTAGAAATATGGAATTCTGAAGGTTTAATACAAGAGGAAAACTGTTCCTAAGGTTATACTTTATTCAGGATGGACAGAAAACGTCCATGTGCTTCTCAGTCTATTTACTTTGTTCACCTAAGTGTTCAACACAGCAAAGCTGGTGGCAGCAGGAAAACACAAAGTCAATGTGTCTGTAAAACCAGAATGTTGCCAAGAGGTTAATAATTACCCCAACTATTTAAAACTGGCGTATTATAATAAAAAAAGCAACCAACTACAAAAAACTTCCCATTTTTCAGAAATCTCAGAGTTCAGTAGTTCCAASGCACACAGCATCAGGCAGTGCAACACCACTGCATTACTGCTACAGCCTTTCTCAACACTGACTTTGCTGTCTGTCATTCTAAGACACTGACTCAGATCTAATACTCATCTCCCTCAAGCAGACCTAGGTCCATAAATACTGCAGTATGACAAAGTACTTACTCATTTTCCTGCATAAATGATGAGCTTCTTGAGACTTCAGCTCTCTCCATCTATTTTTTGTTATCATAAAAGTGTAACAATTGTTTCTAAATGATATCCAGGGTGTATTTTTAATCTTATGTGGGCACTTCACTTGTGGAACTTGTTCCTCTTCAATCTTCTCTAAAAAAAGACAAGACAACATCAGGACATGAATTAATAATAATACCACCTGACTTGTCACCCCACTTTCAGGTACCACTTAAACACATGTAAGACAAATTAGGTGCCATTCTTTAAATGTGTAGTGCATTGTCACTTTCTGTTTCCTCATGATGGTAATTTTTTTAGAGTAACAAATCGAGCAGTAAAATCTACTAAAGAATGCCTCTACTAGCAAGTTTTCAGTTACATTAAATAGGTTTAAAAATAAAATTTAAAAAAAAAAAATGTATCCCTACATAAAAGTGCTAAGTGTGGGCCAATAACTAAAAGCTCTTATTGCCTCTTGTGCAAGGCTACACAACTATCACAGCACCTTCCTTAAAATAAAAAAAATCCAYATCCTACTACATCCTTACCCATCTTATAATTAGTAGTTGCTAAGAAGGGTTTTGTGAGCTGCAGATGATGTTAATTTTCAATTCAGTGTCTACCTTCCTTCTCCATATAGTCATGTACCTCCTCCCTTTACAGACTTCCATGTCTAAATAGTTTTCAAGAGRTCCCAATATTAAGATGTAAATAGTATAGAAGTACTTGAGTCTTCTTCCAMACGCAAGTGGGAGAGATTAGTATGCAACAATCTTTGAGAAGGAATGCAAAGATGGAATCAGTTGGCAATAACGGTACTGTCTGACCAAATGCACCCATGCTGAATTTATTTCTAAGGAACAAGTGGATTAAGACCAGCAGATGCATGCCCTGCTTTTTGTAGCCAGGTTCTTTTTTTCATGGCACAGAAGTCAGATTGTCTAAGAAAATGTAAGTTTTAAAAGGTTGTAATTTTGAAGTTACAAGCTGGAATCATCAAATGTTTCATAATAAAACAAAATTCAGCTTTTATAAAAATTATGGCAGTATACATACTTTCTGATGCATAACAAATAGCACCTCTATTTTCAGAGGARCAGTCAGAAGTTCTCCAGAAACCATCAGTATCCAAAAACACACATTCTTCATTTGTTTCATCATCATCTTCAGACCAGCGACTAAACCTCACATGCTTCCCATCCAGCCAGCCATAGTGTTTTCCACCCTGGGATTATGTAAGCAAAAGGGATGAGCTTACACAGTAAAAAAAATTAAGGCGCAGAAAATTTTAAGGAAAAAAAAACAAACCCATTGACTTGTCTCAGAAATGCCTCCCTCAAACTCAATATATGGGCACAAATAACATGAAGTAACAAAATAATCTAAGTTTAGCTTTAGAAATGTATCTCCACAAATATTCAATGATTCATTTTCAATTTTATTTACCACTTCAAGTTTCTCCCTTTGAAAAGAGATTTTTGGGACAGCTTTTTAGAGTGGTACAGTGGTGACGATATTAAATGGCAACTCATTAGTAATTACTCATTTGTTAACCAAAGAGACAGATGACTCAGCAACCTATGTCACTGGCACCCTACAACATATCCCTTCCTCATCACTCTTTTAAAAGAATTTTCTTATCATCACCATCAATTTGTCCAGTGTAACTTAGGGCACTGAAGGTTTAAAACATTTATCTTGAGACATTCCAGATGGTTCTCTCTACATGTAAACAGCCCAGAAATTAATTTGTCATTAACTCAGGCTCTGTTTCACACAACTGCAAAAATTACCTTAAGCAACAGTCTGAGGGAAAAACAAAACTTACATCTCTGCTGAAGAGTCCAATCCAGAATGGGTAATTATGACGRGCAGCCTGAACAGCAAGAAAAGCCTGCTGGAACTGATCTGTGATGCTAACCAGCTGCATCTTGTTATTTATACATGCAGCCATTGCATCATTCCAGGACAAATTCTTCAGAATTACCATGTATTGAACATTTTGATAGTTCAATGTTTCATTAATGACTTCCTCTGTCTGGTTATCAGCAGTTCCTACACATAAGAAAGAAATACAGTAACAAGGTAGTTAAATACTGTAACACATTTTAACTCCCAATGTCTCTGTAACAATCAAAAAAACTTGTTCGATTACTCTTTGGAAACAAAAAAAACTTATATAGTAGATTRTGCTGATAATTCTAGTTAGAAACAAATACCTTTGATGCTTTTGATAGAAAAATATATATTAAAAATAAATATTATTTTCAGCCAATGATTATTAAATATRTTTTTCTCAACTTAGGTTCACATCTTTTTATATGTTATTTTTACCTAACTGCTAAATTACTTATTGAATTAAAAACATATTCTGTAACTCTAATTATAAACAAATGGGAGAAAGCAAATGGTCTCTGCTGTAATATAGCAACAGCTAAACTTGACTCATTTATCTCYGTGTAGCCTGTGGACTTATGCAAATCTAATGAGCCACTAAACTTGTCTATGCAGATTTTGGTACAGCACAGTCCCAGAATTCCTTATTGCCAAACATGAGTAGAATGCGAAATTATTTTGCCTCCACTTAACTAATTGCAGAAAATCCACCCTGCACAGGGAGGGATATAATTCACTCTTTATGCTCTAAGTGCAGAGTCTTATCACAGTTACCAGCACAATTCCTGAAGGCACACAGCTCAGTCATGCATGGCTACTGCAGTTAATACAAGATGYAAATACTCCTGAGGGTGGTAAATTAAAGCACACAAATTGTAAGCTCCAAAATTTTAAACACAACCAAAAAWAAATTCCTTCTGCAAAAGGCAGAACCCGCCTGGTATTTAAAATATCTGAAGTAGTATAAAGGTTGCGGYGGGGGAGGAGAGGGGATCACTCTATAAATAACGGTACATAAATGGCTGATTGATAGGCYGACAGGGCCATTTTCCAAAACACARTATTAATTTGATATTTACAGCTTTCAATAGCTCAGAAAACTGACAAGGCTGAAACAGATTGTTTYAAGTGGTTTGTGTCTGCTGCCAAATGCTTTCACTTAGTAAACAGCTACAAAAGAGAATCATGGAACCCAGGATGGCATCACACACAAGGGGTACCAAATTGGGAACAAGGCAGGAAGTACCATGTTCATTTCTGAAAAATTAATTGCTCATGATTACCATCTCAAGAAATTCAGCAAATCACAATCACRCCAAGATTTCCAATGAACATGAATCATCTTTTTCCCTGTGATAAAGCCCCTGACAACCTGGACTCTCTCACGACTGTCCCTACAACCTGCTCAAGTCCCTTCCTACTCAAACTATCCTTAGATCCCTAATACAGTGTAAGATCAGACCAAAGCAGGACACGTTCTCTGTCAGTCCAAACATCTTTCTCATTACACCTTCTACAGCTGTGGCAAAGAAATAYGGAGTATTTAGTCATTTCAGACTAATAAGATGTTGTCAACCTCCTATTCATAAAAATCTCCTAAAAATCTCTCTCCTAAAAATCTTCACAATTTTATGACAACTCTTCCAACTATACTTCTATTCTCAACATTTGGAATTTCTGAAGTATTTGGCACTGAATTAAAGATGATTTTGTATGTTACATGAAGGTGGGGAGTGGGAGGTGGAAATCTCTGCCTGTTTGAGAATGAAGAAGGTGGGTGTAGTCTTGGGCGTTTTGCACACCTAGGTTTCTTTGTGGTTTTTTTTTAGAAGATAGCATGTTCATCACTTAAAAGGATTATTTATACTACTCAGAAATGGGTATGCTGAACATTAGCCCTTAGCAGTAATTAAATGCACATAATAACTATATGTGTTYGATCTTATTCCAGTAATTAGTACTGGCCAACCCACATGGGTACATCAGAATATTATTTTTAGTTCAGATTAAAAAATCCCACTCACACCAACTCTGAAGTTTGCTCTGGGGAGACCAATTTCAACATTAAGAGTCTATGATACCTTGTATTCTCACAGAACTACAAGGCAGAGGATATATTTAAGGAGGATATAAATGTTGTGAGATTCTTTCCTAGGGCTTCTCACTTCCACAGCTCTGAMGAGGAAAAAGGAGTCATTTGTTCTAACTCTCAATGTACATGACCTCTACACCCATAGAACATTAAAAGACCCATCTGAAATATAATTCCACTGAAACCACACAAAGCCTCTCAGGAAAAGAGATTCTCTCTGAAGTAGGCTATAAAAMCAACAGGGGAAATACTGAATGGTTGACAAAATAGTCCCCAGATCCTCCTCTACACTCTAAAATTTACCTGCTCAGACTCTACAAGAATYTTGCTCTTCAAGTGAAATTATTTACATGCATTAAAGTCTCCTGGCACATACACCTTAAGTTTAAACTCTGGCTGCAATTTATTTTGACTCTTCAGACTTACCTACAGACTGCTGGCAGATACCCAAGAAGTGCCTGTCAGCACAAGCAGTGAAATTCCATGTTCCAATGTATTGTGATTTGGGATCATTGAGGATTACACCACACTGATTGTTAAATTCTTCATCAAAAAGCTGAGAAACAGAAATATCCTTATCAGACTCAAATAAGGTATAAACATACTTGTGTAGAGGTGAAGTAACATGAGTCTAGGAGAGCCCCAGTTGTCTGAACTTGTTTAAGAAGTTTCAAAGGTGTGGTGCAATATAGCTTACCTATTTTACAAACACTGCCAGGTACCTGGATTCGGAAAGCTTTCCTAAGCTAAATACATTTCAGAAGTTGTCATCCAAATAAAGGTAAACAGAATTCCATTACTGTCAGCCACGCTACTGGCCAATTAAAATGACTATGTGGGGAATTTGGTCTGTTACATGGGGTTTTTTTTGACACAATATTCCACATTTCATTACTCAATAGGCAAGAGAAGTCAAAAGTCAGAACTTACATCCAGTGGAATTTTCCTTAATCGTCCTGTCAGGAGTGGGTGAAAGTTACTATACAACAGTCTRCTCTCATCTATCCATTTGTTCTCCCTTGTGCTGAACAGGAACTGCAAACCAATCCAAATATCTTTTGGCAGGCCAGGAAGCAAGGATGTTATATAATCTGTTGGACAGAACAGTAAATGTACATATTGTGTTTAGGAAAACAACAGTAAACATCTGAAAGAATACTTCAAATAAGTAAGACAATGCAATCCCTATTTGCATTAACTTAATTTTTCCAGCCCTTCATGGCTGCCAAATGCTTATCATCCCTTTCTTTCATATGATCACACCTTTCATATTGATTTTATCTGAAAGGAATAGGCTATTGGTATTTGTCCTTCAAATTCTGAGYTGAGGAGGGCATAGTAGATTTAACCTTGTCCTCTGCCACTAACTTTTAGTCTTTCATGTACACACAAATTTAAGAAGCTGCTTTTCCATAAGCCTGCAAGATCTCCTATTGTCTCACTGCCCATTCTGAATTGATGGAAGAAGTCTTATCTCCCACCTTTCTCTCCTACATACATCAAAACATTTTTTGAATTCTGGCAGAGTTTGTACACTCCATCATCAGAGAAAGTAGGACAGGACAAAGGAGATCAGATTTAGCTGAAAAAAAATTCAGCCAGGCAAACCTTAAATCAGACCACTGTTAGTGAGCATTCTGGCAACACACAATGGGCTTTGGCAACCCCCCAGGCATCAAAGGCATTCACTGAACTTGACTACCTTAGGAGGACAAAGTGAAGCTRTGTAATTAGCTACTGCTGACATGTTTTAACTATTGGTCACATGCCAGACWAGCCACAGCCTATTTTCTGAAGGAGACAAAACCATTGTAGATTTGCATGTCAGAGCTAGCCAGTGACTTAATACCACCAGAAGGAATAGAGGCRACCTATAGAAAGAAGCACACTTCCAGAGGATTGTGCCTTCTATCCATATAGGTGGTCTCTGCCACACAGAGAAAATAAAAACAAACAAGACACAAACACTTCCAAATGCAGCAAATCCCACAAGCAATCCTGCTACATAACATTTCAGAATGGCTGTGCTTTTTCAACCTTAAATGAATTTAAAAACATGCAGACATTATATTCCTGTACATAACCGTATTCCTCCCCAATAACATCAGTAAAAAAAAAAATTACCATCAAGCTGCTCCTACAGGTACACTAGTAACTTCTCTAGTCCACTTGCCACATTTTGCTTGGCAAGAGGTTATTTGTTTATAAAGAAAACAYGCACTGTGGGCACTACAGAATTCAATTGAGCTACTTCAGATATTCCCCCACAGAACTCTTAACTATTCACAAGAATATAGTTGCAAATGCAGCCRTATCATTCAGCAGTTTATTGCTTTACATTGTTTGCAGCAAATGTGAACCCATTTCTTCCTCAGTGCATTTTTCTCATTGACTATAGCTGATTGGAGAAGTAGAACAGTTCTGCATTCCAGTTCTGCTTTCCATCCTCTCACCAATGTCTTGAAGAGCTCACRGGGGATCACAGTTTGGACACACTGCCACATTAAGCTGCTCAGCACACAAAGACACACAGTGGGCCCTGTGCTCCAGCTGGCATTGCATGTGCCACCTCATTCCCACACAGACAGCTGAACTTGTCTTGGAAGCAGCTCCTAAGGTGGTTTTTCACAGTGCAAAGTCTACAGTCTCAGTTATCTTTTTGCTTGCAAAGCCAAACAATTCTTYATTCAGTGATGACCATTTTATGCTCAACTCGTAATGCAACGTTTTGCAACTTTCTTCTTTTTATAACAGGTTAAGATCACACCAAGAAGCTGTTCTTCAAATRGGTTTAAATGTCTGCTGACTGCACTTCCATGTTATGTTTCCAGTGATGCAAACAACAGACAACACATTTTTAACCACTCTTGGATTTTTAACCACTCCCAGCATGCCTATAGATAACCAAGTGATTTCATGCTCAAGCTCTTAAGCAGAGCTATTCTGAATCTGGGAGGGAAGCTGCATACTAAAGTGCCCCAGTTCACCACTGTACCTTGGTCAGCTTGATCTGAGATAGATGGAAGAGAGCCTCCAAAAGTTACGCACTTCTCATTAGCTGCACTAAATGTTAAATGTTCGGGTTTCATCTTTAGAAAACACTGCAAAAACAAACATAATGAAAATTATTTCATCGTACCATTCTGCCTAAGAAATAAATCAGTATGCCAACTTTGTTAAACCAGCCCTAAAAACTCAACTCTCATTTCCAGTAATAGCATAAAACTATTTTTTGCAGAAAGCTAGGGACCTGATAACTAGCTGCAAGTATTTAGATTCAGCAGAGTAGCTAAATATAAATTCATCCAACTGACTAACTCCTMATTCGTATTCAGTAGTTTTTATTGTCAACATCAGAATCATGTACTGTTTTAAGAATGAGAACTCACACATGAACTCTACAGTCAGACAGTGCTTGCCAGGAATGTGTATTGTAATGTGTTACCTTTGAGGAAAAACTACGTGGGAACTCCAAGGTCTATTCTGCAATGATGTGAAGTACATTTACAAACCTTGGCACAATGTAATGTGCCRGTTTGATGCGCATGTACAGAATAATGGCAGATTATTCTAAGGCTTCTGACCTSTTGGTTAATTCTCAAAAGCTGCTCACTAATTCTTAAGTGATACAGCCCTTAGGAAACAGTGTCKGTCATCCTGGAGCCTGCCTATGATTACTTGGGAAGAGAATCAACATGCTTCTGCCACAGAAACCTCATCCTCTCCCTTTCTAATCCTTCCTTTATTCAGCAGAAGCCCAAGATTAGATAATACAACCAATGCTCTTGGACCCAAAATACATGGTGATGGGAAAGCAAAGAAACCTAAAACTGAAAGGTTCGAATTTAACAAGCCATCAATCCTGAATAAGGGACAGAAAKGRAGGAGATTATTTTAATCACTACACWTGTTTTCAAAACCCCCTTTCTAGTCTATTCCTCAACGGAGGGGCTACCTCCTCCTTTCTTTCAGAAAAGCATTCCTGCTTAATGGACTATGAAGATTAAGCAACAATGATGAAACCTGKATTATAACTGTACCTTATTCCGGAACTGATACCAGTCTTTAGGGCAACCTCTTTGGACTGGGCGGTAACTGGGATCATGTCTCTCTAGTAAGGAGGCATTATTTTTTTCACAGATGAAGGGCAGTTTCACATGACAGCTAACTGGGTAGTCTGTAGAAATAGAAGTTTTAAAAAACAGATAGGTAATTCCTATTACACTCCATTTGCTATCGATACTTTATAACAAAGATTACATAACAAAGATTAGTCTGAAGGGAAACACATTTTGGTGCAACCACAGTGGAACTACTATGCAATCTAAAGATTAAAAATAGAGCAAAAGGTAAGCATGGATCATTTAAATCAAACAATAATATAATAGTCCTAAAGATCCAGAGTCTCACTCTTACTTCCAGTATTAACACTGCATATAGGCAGACACAACTTGAAAACTGAAAATCAATGAAAAAGTATTTTGTACATGAGGACTAACCTCATATTCTGGCAAAGAGGGTGTGCCTAAATGTCAAAAAAAACCCAAAAGGGATCCTTTAACATATACATGGACAGCAACTGCCCTGCACTACTTTATATGWTTCTCGCAATCATAAAAGGACTGACTTCCTAGTCAAGAGCAATTTTTGGCTAATAGAGATGACAACAGCTCAGCAGTAGACAACTGAATAACAGGGAAAAGCTTTAAATGGGAATTGTAGAAGACAGGAGTTTCTTTTCCTCTGGAGGTTACAAATTTTCCTCAACACAAAACAGAACTGAAAAAAGGAAACCATAAGCTTCAAGTACCACCAGGTGGCTTTTCCATTACTTTGCAGATYCCTTACAATATGACTCCAACACTTAAATGCATTTGTGTCTCCAGATATATCACACGGTAGCAAGTATGGGGTCAGCCTCTGCAACAACTCTCAAACTCCAGAGCTCATAATACGTAGCATAAACACGAAAACGTAGCCATCAAAACCAGATTTCACCTAATTGATTTCTGTTGCAAAAGGAGTGACAATCTATCATAAGAATTTGTCATTTGAATTCAGATGTGCCTCAGGTCAGTAAGAAATACTACTGTGGTTTCTACCATAAGAAAGTAATAAATGATTCAACAGTAATCAGATTATCATAGAAAAGCCATTCACTCCTAATTCAATATCAATTTCCATTCAATAGAAAAGAAAAAGAAAAGTTTGGGCAGAACAGTAATCACTTCTTTTTTTCTTTTCAAATAAACACAACAATGAAAGAGGGGGTGAAAAAATAAAAACAGCCTTACCTCTATGCCAGTTCTTTCTGGAAATATACCAGCAATCTCTCARGAGTCTATCATGGAAGCGTGGAAATAGCTGTAAACTGGACAKAAATATTTCAGGGTTAATCTCCAATCCAATGTGGCCCCACTGAGAAACTCTGATGGCAACAGTGTCAGTGCAAACAAAAATTTGGGCTWTTAACTGTTTCTATATGCCTGACACAAACTAAGCTAGGAGTAAATATGCAATAGATTCAGTAGTTATGTACTTTGCCCAAATTAACTGAGTTGAGATCTGCAGAATGAGGTTATCACCATGCTGCAATCACAGCACATTGTCAAGTGAAGGGAAGAGGAGATAGCCCTGGTTTTCTTCCCACAATAGCATATTGCTGTAGTATTTTGGAAAGTGAAGGACTTTCCTTATAAGAAGCCAGTGAATCTTTGCAGCCAAGAAGGGTATGATGGAAGATTTGTTGTGAGTCATCCCAACTCTACAAGGCCATACTAAAAGTACTCCAAGACTTTGGCATTACCCAACTAAAAAGTCGTATCTTCAACCAATTTCTCATTCCATGTCCTTGGGTATTCCTCAAACCTCAGAGTCAACACAATGGGCTTTCCTTTTTTTGTCAGTTCTCCAAGTGTTACAAGAACACAGAAGTGGGCTTAAAACCCCAATAAAAACATTTCAAAGATCAAGGAAATATGTTAGCTACTAGGACCACACATRTCAAGGATTCACATGACAAGACTAAGATGCCTAAGCCCAACTGCCCAAAATCTCCAGTAAGAGGAGGCTCCAATAAGACACACAAGAAACTGATTATTAATTCAGTTATTATTAAACTGTTATGAATTAATTACTCTAGTTACCAACTAAAAAGCACATCAAAAAAAGCTTGCAATAAAGCATCTCATAATTATTCTACATACGGTGAATGATAGCTGTAGCCATAATCAATAAACTTCAGCCACCACTTCTGTTCACTGTTTGATAACTGTGGAAATAAAGAACAAAACCCAGTACATTTTACAACCCACACAGAAAAAGTTCCTAACTCTACCCAACATAGAGCAATGTGACAAAATCAGCCACGAGGTACTGAAACTTGAATTATTTTTTTCTTAGATGCCTTATAAGAATGTACTTTCATGCCATGAACACCACAAACCTCTTTCAATAAAGCCTGTCATACCATCATGCATTTCTAACTAAACACTCTCATCAGGTGAAAAATTGTATGTTACCATGCACATGAAATTAAGAAACAGCCCAATTGTTAATAAAATAGTTGCAGRCAAGGTGGTCCTGCTATGACAGTCTTTCACCATTCAGAGAGTTTTGGGYTTTTTAAATTTTGTTAAACTTACTTTTAAATTTTAAAATCCTTTTACCAGACTGCCATTAAAATTCCCTTTAATTGCATCTTTTCGTTTTAAGTACAATTGAAAACCAAAGGCCAACTAGAAAAAGAAATTTAAGATTTATATTTGCTTATACTGGAAAACTTCACAAGAAAATTTCCCTATAATGGAAAGTTAAAACAGATTACAGTCCTYACCTTTTCTATTTGAGATAGTATTGTCCTTAGTTTTGGATAAGATTCCACAGAGGCTAAATCACTATCATTTTTTTGACAGTAGAAAATAGCTTCCTGGTAGCTCAGGTTTTTATCTGGCACAAACCACAGCTCTGCTCCATCAACAACAAGTGGGGCTCCATGAATTCCAATTTCATCTACACAGAAGAAATACCACATAAGTAAGAAACAAATTCTGCAAAACTTACCCTTTCTTTTTTTGAAAAAATCTCAATTTGACACTGGGAAGAGTCAACACTCTGCATTTTGAATTCTCTCAAAATCAAATTCTATCAGTCATAACCCTTCCCGGTATCAAACAGATACTGCAGAAGCAATGCAACAAAACTAGTAAAAGATATTGAGTATGATGAACCCTATACACATAGTGGAAAAATATGAAAGTAGTTCAGTTACCTGGTATGTACCACTCTGGTGTCTTTGGAGTGCTACCTGTCCAGATGAAAAAAGGAGAAATCACTGGTTTCACCTTCTAACAAGACTGTGGCCACCAATAATAGAAGCRATAATTAGTACACATACTTCTCAGTATTCATGATGGAAAGAAAAGGAGAAGGAAACCATACACAAGTTTAATAGTTTAAAATGAGCTGATATGAAATTAATGGGAGTACGGCATACCTCCATCATAAACATCTGTGGTTCTTTTATCTCTCAAGCAGCAAAGTAGTATATCTACCAGTATCTCACCCCAACAAAAAAGTTTCACCCCYAGCTTTTAATGAACAACTGAAATGTAAGAGTCTACTGAATTACATTTCATACTGCATGAAAAAACCTGGATCTGTGCAGATATGCCATGCCATTCTTATGTATCTCCCCTCCTCTGATTCATTACAATGAGGAGCTAGTGTACCAGTTCAGCCACCAGGCTAGTTCACCTRAGGCTGAAGCAAACTTACACCCAAGATATCTGGTGATATCATTAAAAATATCACTAAGAAAGATTAAGTATAATCCACAAATGTTGCAACTTGGTGTCTTATAYCACCTCACAAAAAACCACTTCCCACTCCATTGGACTAGAAAGAGTATGAGAGCAGTGATACTGCATCCCACGCAGGATCATTTTCTGATCTAAAGGTACATTTGTTTGTATGTGACATAGGTGAGATATTCAATGTACTGTCCTCTTGGCAGTTCAGAGAAGAAATAATAAAATATTGTTTGCAAAGTTTCTATTACAGAGCAATAATGACAACTCATTGTATTAAGTTCTTTATATTAACAAATGGATGTAACTGCGAGTTTACCTTTTGTTATCTGGCAGACCCATTCAAGTTTAGCATCACAAACAAAAGGCTTGAAGTAAAATTCTAGGTCTCTGCCTTCATGGAAATAAAATCTCCAAAATGATCTCCGTGAAAACTGTGAGGTCTGTATACAAATATAAAGAGAGAACTGAGTAAGTACAGCATAGGCCTCTGAAATGTGAAATTAAACTGTATTAAAAAGGTACTTTGACAAAGTCAGCGTATTTTACTGTGTTCTTAGTCATACAATTTATTTTGCAAATAAAAGGGCAGATACAACCATAATGTCAACTATAACTCTCCATGTTAGCTAACACTGTGAAGCAATTAGTCAAAGGGCTTAAGGTCAGTCTACATACAAAAGTCTTGAAAGCCTTTTCTAGCAATAATTCTTCTCAGGGTTTTTGTAGTGCACAGGTTCTCACTGATGTTTATTATTAAATTTTCTATTGCAACTTGTTCCCCTGAAATTACTCTCACTTCTGCTGAAAAAAACCCATCTGAACTGGCACAGGAACCATCTTTCTTATTTAAGATTATTTATGACAGTCAGGCTTAAAGAACTGACTTCACTCTTGTTGGTTTATCCAGTAAGGAGGATTTTTTATCATTTCATGAAATAACATGTCTGTAATTAGACAGAGAAGAGAAGTTACTATATTCACAGCATTYTCTACATACTGCTCTCCTTTGTCTAAAATTTCAGGAGCTCAATGCTGACAAGCTTCTCAGATTGGGGTCATGAACACAGGAAAAGTGGATGAGGGAAATGCTGTGAACAGAAGCAAAGRGATGAAATTATCTTTTTCCCCAGTAAATCCTAAAAAGCAAACATTCTATTAAGGTTAAAAGGGGTGGAACTGGAATGAGCAAGCAAAAAGTCAGATGATGCTTCAGAAAAATAAAGGCTATTTTAAAACTCATGCCATCAAGACTAAATTAAGTATTGAAGAGCTTAATCAGGAATCAAGGCAAGGTCTGACATTTGAAATGAGAAACCAACACAACTCGTACAGTCTATTTCACAAGTAAACACACACAATATACACAAACACATGCTCTGTTCTGGCTATTGCATTTTCCTTCTTCAGGTTTCAAACTTTTTCCTTAATGTGCAGTTCAGAAAAGCTAGTATAGATTTCAAAAGTTACTGGTAGGATTCTCGTTGCTTTTTTTGGTTTAGACTCCACGATTCATCCTTAAGAATTATGTGTAATTTGCAAGAAATCTATAACATGGCATTRTACAATGGAGAACAGCATTATTACTAAAATATTATGTAGTTAAAAAGGTTCATAAGAAGTCTTATGAAAGGCTGTCATTAGCAGAGCACTTGGCTCATAAAAAATACTTGATTAAGGGAAAATTTGTAATAGGTGTAGATTGATAAAGGGAACACTAGCAGCTTTTTCACTGTTAAGAAAACATCTAAACCTAAATTCAGTATACATCTGGAAAAAGTATTTTTTCCAAGTACTTCCAAGTAAAAACACGTATTATTAAAAACCTTGAAACTAACCTTTAATGCAGCACAGTCTCTTGTATCATATTCATCCTCCAGATAGTCAAGTGGCATAACAACACTGGTTACCTACAGGGTGATAGACAGGGTGAAAGAATCAGCACWTGACGCTTTGCTGTGGCAGTCCCAAGACGTAACCATTCAAACCTGGGTCCCATTATGTTTATTACTATTAAAATATGTGTTGAACAGCAGTTAATCAGTTTTGAGTCTCTGTATCTGTTTTGATTCAGGAGAAYTAACTTACAATTTCAAGCAAATGAAACAATTACAGTGAGGAAGATTTTTTTTGAAAAGTTGGACATAACATGGAGATGAACTGATAAACCCCCCTTTCTGTTGTGGCATGAAGACACTTTGTTCCCTCCATCAGCTCTACTATATTTCTGTGAAATTATTTTAATATAATGGAAACAGAAATCAGATTAAACTTATTAAAGGTATGTTTTTAATTGGAAATCTGCTTGGATGGYAGGTCTTAAGTGCACAATCTTCTTCTGAGTTATTAATCTGTTGAAAGAYGCAACATATTTTAATTAAAATATTTATCAATTTACTTTCAATTCAGTCCTAGTTGAAACAATACAGTACATGACATTTCCTGGTTAAAAATTAACTTACAGGTTTGTTATCACTCCATTGCCAGGTTCCCAAAGAATCAGGACTCCTCTTATTCATTCCAATCCAGACCCATCTGTCATTGCTGTAAATAAACAAGATACAATCTTATGCTAAGCAAAGCTCATTTAATAGAAAGACTGACCAATGTCATGGCATTACTTAGGATCAAGTAGCAAAATCAAGGTTTTACCCCTGCAATTTGTAGTAGTTCAAAGATAAAATAGAAGGGTTAGGACCTCCTCCTCTGTACAGAGGAAAACTGAATCAGGTAATTCCATTGAGGACTGCATCACCACTTCATTGGCTGTCACTTGATATAATGGTCTCTTTCCTACATTTTTCTTCCAGAATCCCATACAGAATATTTATATGGTTTGTCTACCTTGGGCTATCTCTCCACCATCAGCTCAAACATACCCTTCCTCAAACCACACAAAAGCTTCTACTCAAAGAACACAACTGGTGTATTTCCCTTAACTTTGTCAGTGATACAAACACATCAAACCTGGGCACCTATTTCAATTACGCACCTTCATAAATGAGGTGCAGACATAAATCAGCACCTAACACCACTGACTACAATTGCTGCATTAACAAGTGGCAATAGAAATTTTAGTCTAGTCGGAACTGGGTTTTTCCTAGATTTTACTTCTTCATTTTTCAAAAGCAGRAGACATTTAAATCTAAAAGTTCAACTATATTTCAAGATAACAAGACTGCCTGAAAAAAACAGGTTTACAATGTAAATACTCGAATCTGCAATAAGAACCTTTAYTGTACTCTTTTGCTTATGAATCTAAAGATACTATAACAAAATTAAATGTGCTAGACCAACTAGCAAGGTTGTTTTGCTAGGTTAGTTTTGTACTGCAAGTTCTCAAACATTCAATTTTGTGTGGGGTACTGAACTTCRTGATAATTCACTCCAATCCAAACCCTGCCCAAGAAAGTCAATAGACACTACCCTGACTGACAGGAAGCAGCAGAGGGGAAAAAGACCATGAGCTGTCATGAAATCACAGACTGCATGAAACCCTACTGCAAAAGAGCAGTGGAAAGGCACTCTCATCAAGGTGGTCTGACATGATGGTGAARTATTGATGCCACACTACAGGGCTTTTGTAGAACTGTATCAGGAGCACTTTCCATCATGCTGCATCAAACACAGAGACACAACACAGGACATTTGAAGAAATTAAGACCTCAGGCTTAATTAAGAATTAAGGACTTTCTTGTCCAGTCTTCCCAAAGAAAGACAGGGAAAGGATATAATTATTCTTTATAATATTTTAGGAGACTAAACMGACAAAAAGAGGAGCAATTTGAGCAAAAAGGACATCATGTCTGAAGGAACCACAACCCAGAAATAAATTTAAGTTCAAAACTGGACAGAGACATCTGACCAGCAGAGGTCAGAGTTTGTAAAAGACTCCCCAGAAGGCAGTGCTGACAGTGATTTGAAGTCAGAACTTGTAAAATTTATGAAAATTACTTTATAACCTGGAGGGATGGACTCARACTCAGGCTTAGCCACACAGGCAATGTTATGAAACCACAAGGCAATGTTAAGAAAGTCTTTGCTAAGACTGTGTCACTTGATTTCCACCGTAACGATTCTGAACAGCCTGAAAATACTGATGGGGCAGCACTGAGAAACAGCTTAGCCTGTGGTATGTGAGCTAATTACATGAAATACAAGAAGGGCAACAATATTTTTTTTGGTAAAGTTCCCTTTAGGGAACTTAGTATCAACCATCAACAGATCTACTATTTTTTGTTCTTTGTTCTCAACTCCAGTCATGATTTTCTGACATTGGTGGGACYGTGTGGTCAGTGTGATAAAATCAGACTGATCAGTTCAATGATACAGCTAAGGAACCTTTACAGAGCCTAAATGCCCAGTATCACTGCAAAGGGAAAACTGTGAGCCAAACATTCACAGCTGTCAAGCAGCTAAGTGACTTTTGGCTATTTGCCTTTCGGACTTTATTTTTCTGTAGCTGTTATTCMAGTTAAGAAGCAAACATCCCCTCCTAATTGCCTCCTATAGCCTTAGTGCAGTTAGGAGTATTTACTAAAAAGAAAATTTGAGACACTAATTTCAAAAGCATTTGCAGCAGTTACCTGAGGCTCTAGAGCAATTTTTCAAACTTTCAATTTGGAYCTGACTTTTATATAATAAATGAATTAAAACCAAAAAATCTCCAGCTCATCTTTCAATTTACAATTACTAGCCTGCACAGAGAACAATGTTTTAAGCTCACTGGGCTCTTACACATTAATGTCCTGCTTTGCTTCTGGAATTGTTCAGACACGACCATAAGTAATTTAATAACTGCTACACTATGCTTGACAATACTTTWAAGCTTCAGTAAAGCCTTCTGATAGCCCTCTGAAATTATACTGTCACCTTATCATACGAAAGAACTCCACCAACTATTTAAGACAAAGATGAATTGTCTATCGCAATTAAGCTTGCAGCAAGSAATTTGCTAGTGCTTCAAGTATCTATCTCCTCATTGCAAAACATTAAAAATTCATCTTATGGACTAATACCAAAATGGATTTATCAGTGACAAGGTATTCTCTGAGCTACACTCCTGGAACTGCCTCTAAACACCCAAAGTATCCTGCATTTTAACCTAAAATATACATGCAATTTGTGCTCTGCAAGGGACTCCACACTGATTTGACAGTGAAATCTCTAGCTTGCATAATATTGGTGGTTTTTCTTTCACACAGAACTAAAAATTCATAAATTCAAAAGTACTACAGGAGTGAATAAATACAGCTCAGACTGTGAAGGGACTRCAAACCTGTACTTTTTCTAGTCATATTCTGCCAAAATAGAAAAATTATTTTCTCTGTCCTTTATGTCAGCTCCAACACAAGATTAAAGCCTAAGGGAAGTTTTTGGGGCTTGYAGGTCAACCTAGTTCTTGACAAGAGGTAAGGTATGCACATCTGGGCCACAGCTCTAACATTGCAAATTAAGGCACTATTTAATCTTAGACAGTGCTGGCCTAAAACTCTGCATGAAGCCCATCTGACCACCCTGCTCTTCCTGCTGTAACAGGCTCCTGTTCTAGCTAAATCACATCCTGCTAATTACCTGCTCCTGAGTGGAAGAAAACAGAAGCTAAATTAATGCAATTGAATTAATCTTTCATCTCAGCTTTATTAATGTTTTGGCTATTGTGTTAAGGTGGTTTTTTTCTTTCAAACTCAAATGTTTGTGAAGCTTTCTAGATTCAGAACAATTACAGCAGTAGAGCTGTTCATATAAAAGGCAACTGATTTCTTTCCAGTCAGGTGYCCTTGCAGAAGTGTTATTTCTAAGCAGCCCAAGCTATTACTCTCCCTATGTYCAGCACTGCTGCCAGCTATGAGCTGCAGAATGCTCACAAATACAGTCCTAAAGGAATGAAAGCAACTGAACCGGATCTGTTCTGCCTGTATCATGTCCCTTAAAGTCAAAAGAGGTTATCTCCTACTTCTCCCAGACAGGGGAAGGCTGGCAGGCAAATTTTATTTTCCTTTCCAATGGCAATAGCCTGACTTGGCTGGAGCAATTCTGGCTCTTACTTGACTCTAAGGTGGAATCTGAGTAAAGAACAGAATGGACTAGGCAAGCTGCCCTTTTCCTGGTGAACCAAAATGACTCTTGCTAACATTCAAAAACAAACAGTTCTCAATGAGTCACCAGAGAACTGTGCAAGGGGAAAAAAACCTGAAACCAAGAGAGCCGAGGCGTGGCTCCTTCCCCAAGCTGAAATGAATGCACTGAATGAATGCTTTAAGTCAGAGATTGCACTGAGTAAATACAGGGAACACGAACAAACTGCATGCCAGCACACTCCAGCAGCTAATCACATTTAGTGTTACCTTAGCRTGATTTCTCCCAGTTAGCTAAATTATTTGTTCTTGGTGAAATACTTCACATGGTTTCTTACCTCCTATCCCAAATGAGGTTTATTTTTAGRTAAGCTATCCCTGACATTTGACCTCCAAATATTTTATGTAATCAGCACCTCGGAGCAATTTAATTCAACAATTCATTACGTTATCTAAACAAACAAACATACATTATTTAAAATACCTCGGACAATATCAACTGTGTAGTATTTCTGCTCAGAATGTTCTGAAGTGATGAAAAAGAGGTTAGCCCACAAWAAAATACTGTGTTTTCAGTTATATTTGATATGATCAGTTTCTGCAACACTGACTTGCAGAGTCAAATTATACTGGGCTCATCTTAAGTTCTGCTGGAGTAAGACTGAAATACTGGGACTTTCTTTCTTTCAGACTAAGTTCAAGTTTCCTGAGCTATGGGGAATGCAGGAGCATTGTGTGTCAACTGACTTCCCAGAAAGACAGAAGTCTCTACCTTTAAACTCCTAACAGAAAMTATAATTAATACCATAGAAAGTCTGCAAGCTGAAAAGCAGCTCCAAATACTTGTAGAAAAATGTTACTTCTCTATTCACATTTCATAGTAGATTAGGTGCACAAAACCAAAATTCATTATTGCAAAGCCATCTAATAAGGTCTACRGCTAAAAATAATTTGTGCACTGATTTTTATTTTGGGACTTTACTCAGTTTAGCAAAGGAATCACAAGTGGCTTTTGCACAAGCTAAGCTATCTATATATAGAACACACAAGTTTGGTTTTGTCTCCCGTTAATATAAACACTGAGCAATTTTCATGACTTGTGCACTCCTAAAATAAGTTCACTGGGTTCTCAAGAAGGCACCTCTTCAGTCATCAGGTTTTAAAATTTAATCACAGTGTTGCATGCTGGCTGCTTCWGAAATAATCCTGTTTTAGTTTGTTGATGAAAAAAAATTTGATGAYATAACTGACAGCATTTGAGTTTAAGCAGGCAAAAGTTCTAAAAAAACAGACTGTCAATCAAAAAAAGAATTACACAAGGGTTTGACAACACACTAATGCCAAATAAAGCTTYGCAGTGACAATTCATTTGATTAAAAATAGAGGTTTTTAACTCATAAATTAATTAGTATTTAATTTTTTTTATACCAGAAAACTCATCATGCCCATCTAATGCCCATACAGTGTTATTGCAGCTATGCCAAATGGGATCTGTGCCAACCAGATTGCTGGACACTACATTATTCACATTTTCAAAAGTTAGCACCCAGTTTAGTCAGGAAGCATTTCATGAATAAAAATGAGAAGCATCTGAAAAACTGAAATAATAATTCATCTCTAACAAATGTGCCAGTAAAGAATAGGTACAATTACCATCTAGCTGTGCCAAATTCAATAGTGAAGGAAAAAAACATATTATAACAACAGACTTAGATTTGCTCTGAGCATCTTCCATTACATAAATTTCTCTTCCTGTGTTGCCTCTAGCAATGTGAAATATTTGCCCAAGATRTACTCCCTTGACATTTTCCAGCAAGGCAGTTCAAATGCCACATCTAGCTGTTCTGTGGGAAACACAGTTGTCACACGCTATCTCATACTTGCCATTTGGGGTCAGCAGCAGTATTTGCAACTACGACAGAATCATAATTTTACAACATGGCTAGTTTGTTACCTGATCATTTTTCTCAGGATAGAATGAAGTGCCTTGATTTCTTCTGAGTGACTAAAACTAGGCAGATGGCCTCCCAGTGCTTCACAGAACCTTTCTGCCTCTTCCCAGGTCCTGGTTCGCAGCACTCTTTCACTGTGGAAGAACTTCACAACAGCCAAATGTCAGAGCAAAAAGTAACACGCACGGCAGCATTTTCAAAACACTCCTGTTCTACTAAAATATGGTCACCTGAGATTTAGTAACTGGTATTTCCATAGGGAGAGAACTTGACTTTTTACCAATTTATTTTTCAGTTTGTTTGACAACAGCCAGACTCYGAAGTTTAGCTGAAAAAATGTGTTTCGAACACAACATATTCCATATGACAGACTTTCTCTGTTTTCATTTTACCATATAGATTTTAGAAACCACTACCCAGCTTATTCCGTAACTGCAAGTCAAGCTGTAAGTTTTAAGGCATGTTGTTCTTTCAAATTTATGGTGAGCTACAAAGTTTAGTGTTCACTGAAACTGGATTCATTTGGGTGAGTGAAGAAACTTCTTTGGCCCACCCTTGGCTRCCTGTATGCATCAGAGCTGCAATTTGGCTCATACACCTCAGCTAACATGTCCACTTGATCCCCTTGGTTTCAGTYCAAGACAATTCCCATCAGCTAGATCTCTCTGCACAGACATGCTGCATTTGGTCAACAACMGTTGTGCAGAACCTGCCAGGGCCAGCTGTCATGTCCATCAGCTATGATGCACAGCAGCACAAACCTCTCTCTTCAGGATGCTTGCCCACATCCTTGTTATCCAAGCTGCATTTCCCTACTTTGCTACATGAGCTGTTTACAAGAAACAGTTCATTGCAGACACCGAGTCCAAAAGTAATGAATAAATATTCCAATGAACAGCCTCAGTTTTAACTTAATTTAATTTTTAACAGGAGGAGAAAAAAAGTGTATTTCTAAATATAAATTTGTTTAAGCCATTCCAGCTAAACAGCACAGCTGCTCGCTTCCACTATTCACTTCTAAATAGTAAAATACAACTGAGGCTGAGTATTTTCAATATCCATATTCAAACCAGAGAAAATCCCAACTCTCCTATCTATACTCTTAAGAGTACAGAAAGGAAAAGGACAAGGGCAGGTGATGCAAACTGCTTTCCTTCCCTGTCCAGGTGTCTGTGCGTGCCAGATGGCAGCAGGGAGGACACGGGTACAGCACCCTCTGAAAGCATGAGGCTCCTGAGACAGCAGCACAGGGCCTGAGCTGTTGCCCCACCTCAGCTGACAACAGAAGGAGGAACAATGCACCCTCCAGGAATGGCAGAGGATGATGCATGACAGTATCTGCAGGCAGTCAACCTGAATCAACATCAATTCCACCTCCTTTAATGATGAGCACCTTTAAAATGCCCTCCAGAGCAGCCATGCCCACAAAACTGCTGATCACTCACTGCTTTCAACACAGTAATGAGCCATTAACATCTAACAAGAATAACATTTTACCTTGTAGCAGGCAAGGCCAGATCCATTGTGCCACCCAGGGGGACAGGGATCAGTTGGTTTTGGGAGCACTTCTGGCTCTTTGGGCCGCCCGATGTATTTTTTGCAGACAGAAAATGCTTTAGTGGTTTTACAATCCTTGGTTTCCCACTTTCCGAGAGAATTTCCACTGGACATGGCCACACATCCTCCTGAAAACTCTAAAATTAAAGCCACCAAAAAAACCACTTAAAACCATTGGTTGGTTTTCAAAAAAAACCCTGACATATTTATGAATTATTCCTTTATTTTATGCTTGGAGTTCTGTAACATGGTACTCCAATGATTGTTCAGTTAAAAGGACAGTGTTTTAATGAGGTTTTTAGTTTTCAAATTTACCTGGTTGCATGGAATTCCAGTTAGTGTATGTCACAGCTCCAGGCTTTTCCCCATTCACCGTACCCCAGGAATATATTCCTGACTGGCTAATATCGTGCAAACCGGTCCAGAAGTACTTTTCTTCAACTTTGGTGTGTTTCCTAATTAGACTGTTTATAAATTCTTGTTCAAATCTGAAAATTCACAGATTAATCTGAGTCAATATTTGAAAGATATCCCACTACTGACATAATTTGAAAACCAAAACTACATGAGTCAGTTCAAGCAGTCATCCAGGCAGTCCCWCATTCAAAATGGGGGCAGCAGGCTGGGAATTCTCATACTTCCAAGGTTTCACATTGTAGGTTTACCACTGTCACACTGTGGAAAACACAGCTTTTGAGTTCTTGGCGAAAGCAATTCTCTCTCTACTCTTTTTTCATAAACCATTAGTTAGCACACAGAGTTTTTAATATGTGATTTTATCTCCAGGATTGTGCTGTTAAACCTGCTCATAAATTAAAAATGTGCTTTACCTGTTCATCACTGTAAGATTGCACTGGGCTCCATATGAAACTTCCATTTTATCAATCCTGTAACAGTAGTTTCCATGTCTCTCCCACCCCTGGTTAAAGAACAAAAACCACATTCTATAAAACAACCTAATTTAGGCATTACCTACAGGAGAAAATAAATCATTGCCAGCACTGTGRCTGGTGCCCACAAGCTGGCACAACTTGTACAAAAAAGAAATGCACTGTATCACACAAGGTCCAGTATCATCAACTCTCAGATTCAGAGTTGTAAAAAATAATGCAGCCACAGGAATAAAATACACCACTGTTTTAGCTCGCCTAGGCAGAGTCTTCTGACCACTATGTGTATTTACAGAGAAAAACACAAGGGCAACAGCCCAGTCCTATTCAAAACAATAGGAGTTTTCATGCTGTTCCACCAACGCCAGGATTCAAACAGAAGAATACTAGGAAGGCATATACCAGTGTTTCTTTACTTCCAAAAAAAAATATTCGATACTGAAAAAAGTGTGAACTTACAAAATTTTTCTATTATTCAAATATTTCTCCCCATAGTTAYACTGAAATTTCAAGGAACATGGTGTCTGAACAGCACAGAAAGCTGTAACTCTACATGCTGTAAGTCTCTGAAAAGATTAGAGTAAAACGTTGTGCAGAAAGAAGGGTAGGGGGTAAGCATCTTTCCTGTTGCAAGCAATATGCTACACAAAACTAAACCAAATAACCCTGAAGTAGCTAACAATACCATCCAGGCTTGTTCAAAAGATGGAAAGACTTCCTTTTCAACTTCATTTATGCTGTAAGATGTCAGACTGTAAAAAAAACCTCAAACCCAAAAAAACCCACCTCTGTTGAAGTCACAGGACACAAATGAGAGCCAGCGAAGCATAACAAACCTAACCTCAGTTAACAATGTCTGCATATCTTTATGTTGCAAAGKGCTTATCCTAAATTTTGAAACATAATTTAAGCAAAAATCACAGAACAAATGGTGTTGTCAATAACTTTTCTAATAAAATTATTTCTTTGAAAATACATAAATAAATAAAACACATCTCATGGATCCAAGCTCATAATACTTTCATCAATAAACAGAATAYAGAGCCTGATTAGGAGAATCTGAAATTTGATTCATGCTATATAAATGTCCTTTTTCAGATAAAATGTTTCATAGATTTTACTGAATACACMAGATAGAAATAGAAGTAGAAGTAAGTGATTCTAGGCAGGTTTCTGAACCAAATGACARTAAAAGAAATAGAGGCTTCCTATTACCTCTTCCAATGAACAATTTTCATCTGATTTTGTTTCATTCAAAATCTCTCCTTTCTTCTTGCAAACATATTTCAATTTTTCTTCACAGGATTTGACTCTCCACTGTCCCAGCTGTGAGAATGAAAGGAAAGTATTTTAAGCAATCTTTCAATTGTCATATTTGCAGGGGCTCTTTCCRTAAGGGGGAAAGCCAAAATGCCTCTAGGATAGATATTGGGGTGGGATGCAGGTACATATTGGACGTGAGAGAGAAAGCTGGCACATGCAGAGATGGGAGGATTGTGGATCACAGCCAAAGAGGAAAGAAAAGGCCAGGGTGGTGCTAACTCTCTTAGATCAGGRTGCAGGAGGTGTGCTCAGCATACTGTGGAAGCAGCTCAGACAGCTCAAAAGAGCTGAGCACAAGCTCCAATGCCAGGCTGATGACACAGCAGGCAAATCCATGTCCCACTTTTCTAATGAATTTGCAGGATGGGATACAGCTTGCTTCCCACTCTTAGTGACCTTCTTTCCTCACCAACACCCTTTTTAGAACATTCCACCCTCAGACAGGGTGGCCCAAATTGGTCTAGGAGATGATTGAACCCAAATTTTCCTTCCTTCCTTCCTTCCTTCCTCCCAGAGACATGCAAGAACACAGTAACCCAAAATACAGAGTAACAAGGCCAACTGTCTGGCCAACAGTGTGGCAGTCTCAGAGCTAAAAGTAATTTCTTCCATTCTTTGCAGTACACAGGTACAAAATCCTAGCTAAATAATTTTAGGAAATTTGCTCGTAAAAAAATGCATTTTAAAGATTATTCCAGAAATAAGATCAGCTATCTGCTTTATCCCCTTCCTTGACTTTCACACACATCAGTGTTGCCTCTACTATCATTAAAAAAACCAAACCAACAACCAAACCCAACACTGTAATCCTACCTTGCCTGAATATGACACGCAGTTAGGAGTGCTGTTAAAAGGAACTTTTGGTTCATTCTGATCCCAGTATGTAAAAACCACAGGCGAGCGATCTGACCATTTAAACAGGGTTGGCACATCGTCATTGCTGAGACCTATCCACATTTCCTCTTCAGCATCTGTAATTTAAAATTACAGATGACACTGTCACTTCAAAATAATTTTCAAACTAACAGGGAAGAAATGTGGTACCAGCAAAATAATTTTTTTATTATACTGCGCAGCAGTGGAAAATACTGTGTAGCAGTACAGTGATATTTTTTCTTACAGTAAGAAAGGGCATTTGAGACAACCATAATGTATATTTGTTATCTTGTTTCTCAACTTACATTCATGACTATGAATAAGTTTCACAGAGAAGGTAACAAACASGAAAAAAACCTAACCACAAATAAACTGAAACAATGAGAACACAAACAAAAAAACCCTCAACCAAATTGAATTTAAACAGTGTAGGCAAAGATGCTACACCAAATACTACTGATATTATTTATTAGTTCAGTGACTCAGCAGTCAAAATACTGACCCAACTGTCTACCATTCTCTTTGAATGAGAAAATTAAACAGTAAGTATAAAAAATACTAGAAGTTAGTCCAGTAAATAAAAAATTAATAGATTGAACCAGAACAAGCCCTAACACAAAGATCCTGTACCTGCACAGCAGCATTCAGCACTAGCCTGAGTACAAGCTCAGCATTAACAGCCACACTTAAAAGCTAGAGGTTATGACAATTGTATGCTAGAACATGGAAAGCAGTTTGTAATGGATGGTGTGCAGCACTTGGTGCTTGACCTTTCCAACTACTCCAACTCACCATTATGAAGCTCTGTAACAACCAATTCAACATCTGCTAATGAGTGAATGCTGATAAGGTTACTCTTATTTGCTTTGCACAACTCCTCTGCTGTACTCCAGGTTGCCTGGTTGTTCATCAGCATGTAGCAAAAGCCATCGTGGGGGAGCCAGCCCGGATCACAGCGAGTATCCAAGTGGYTCCAAAACTCTAATAATGAAGAGGAATGGAATTAGAGCTTTTGTTTTACATTATCCCTAGTACAGGCGCTTGGCTTTTAATTCAGCAGCTCCTTGAAAACAGTCAGAACGCAGCAATTAGAATATGTTCATATCTCTTCAGGGTTCATGTAAGAAAGRGTCACAGCTTAGTCAAGCAAACAGACTTCAATGCAGCATTATGAGAATTCATAATATTTTGGGGCCATAAAGTAGGCAGAAGGAGAAAGAAGTTARTGGGAGTGAAAGCAAAAAGCAGAACTGGATTACATTATGGTGGTCTTAGTGTAAATGAAAGGCCCAGAAGTAATCAAGATTTCAAAAGTCACTGAAGACAAATCAACTTAATCCATTGCAGGAGAGAAGCACACAATTCAAGAATTCAAACTGGGTTTAATGCATGCTAGAAAGATGTACATTAATAGCCTTTCTGGTTCAAAACACACTATAAAATACTCYAAACAAAGGAATTTTGTTTTTAAATGAATGAAACACCATATAAACACTGGTAATAACYCTACATACTCCACTGAGGAGCCAGAAAATAGAAATTGTTAATTGACAACAAGCTTTCAGGGTATCACTGCAAAATTTGAATCAGTTCAGTCAAATTTAAACTGATTCCTATTTTTTTCCTCAAATACACACACACACACCTCTCCAGGGGGAGCTGAAGAGAAGATGCCTTAGCCAGAGACACTCTACAACTCTTATCCCCTAGTCCACCCTGTCACTCAAGCACAATTACCTTCCATTAAAMGTTTTTGCAGAAGAGCCCTGCAAGCTGGAGCACTGGGAACTGCGTAAGGCCAAAGCACAACTTGAAGAACAGGTCACTGATCTGGGAACGGTTGGATATCCAGGTGTAGATAAATATGGAAKCAGTTACATGTCACAGCTGGACACTGTGAACACTGAAGTGGGTGTGCGTGTGTAGGTCAATATAAGGGATTTTTTAACTTGGAAGAGCTGTTGCGCATCCACAGATTACACATTGAGCAAGCTACCACCTCTTGCACTCTGATTTCCAGTGTTGGGCCTGGTTTCAAAGGATAGTTAAGGTTATTTAACTACTTCTATTTGAATTCAACAGAGTTTGATCCAAGAGCCAGGTATGTCCCATTTTATGTCAATACACACCAAGGGTGAGATAAATGTGCTTAAAGCAAAGATGTAAAGGTTTGGGGTGCRACTGCTAGTTCCAGATTTCCAGTACTATATATGAAAGAAGGCACAAGCCATGGAGGAAAATGTGATGAAAAGGGCAGGACTGCTGCAAAATGCTTTATGTGTGAATGAGAAACTGCAAAAAAAGAAAACTGTTTGTGATGCATCATCTTGACACTGAAGAGACAGAGTTCRCCTCTGCTCTGCTAAAAAACCCAAAGCTGTTGTGAAAATGCTTTGGCAGAGATGCCTAAAAAGGCTTGGGAGGACTCCATAAGTGAACATTATACTTGTATTAACAGGCATAACTCAAAAATGTAAACTGTCCTACCTGGAATGCTTGAAACTTCCTTGAGTGACTTCTTGCAAGTATATGGAAGTTGTGTCCCACAATGGTAACTCTGCCACTGGCCTGAAGCAGCATTCATCACCACACAACTCGTCCCATCCAATGGGGATAAACTCTGCATATCTACAGACAGGAACAAACACTTTCACTGTTATGAAAACATAACAGCACAAGTTATCAAACAGTAAGGCAGTGACTGCTTCTTTTTACTGCTGATTTTCAACACAAGAATAACATACTCTACATATTATGGCAGCTTGTATTTGAAGAACATAATTTGCATCAACCGAGGACACCTGTCCTACCACAGGTCCCACAGAATGTTTTTTCTAAGACAGAAAGTTTCAGAATCAAGGMATTTTGAGTTCTTTTCCAATGTTTAATCATAGAACCAGAAGGAATGTTCTATTTACAATACAACAAACCCTTGGCTGAGTACTTTCCCAGACTAGAAATATCTCAGGGGAGAACCATTTTTGCAGCCCTCAGTTTCCTTTGGCARTCCCTTTTCACCCTCACTCCAAACAGTTCTGCACTTTCTCTCAATGCTAACCATAACCCTWACCTTAACAGAAACATTAGACAAGACCCCAAATTTGTATTAGCACAGAGAAAAACTCTTTTTTGTAGTCTTCAGCTTTCCTTGGAGCCCCTTTCTAATGGAACTTTTTGACTTTCTTTTTTTTTGAGCCTCAAAGCAAACCCAAGCTGTGACCTATCCAGAGCACCCCAGCTCCCCCCRGCACTGGGTTTGTTCAGGCTCACAGTAAAAAGGCTAAGGGTAGATTTTAGTACTTCATGAAAGAGAACAGTGGGATAGGGGCAGACTCTTTTCAGAGGGCTAAAGTGAAAGGAAAAGTAATGGGCACAATTGCAGTTATCAAAACTCCTGTAAGGTAGCAGTAAGTATTTTCACAAGAGAGATACTAGACATGAGAAGGTCTGCCATRACTGCAGACTAAATTATGCCACTGGAACTCAGGATAGTCTGGCCTCTAGCTCGGCATTAGTCCTACAGAGTGATCACAGCTCCAGAAGAAGGTGSAGTCAATAGTACAAGCAGCAAAGATCTTAATCTTCCTAAAAGACAGACMACGTTTGGAAAATCCCACAGAAAATTCTTAGTAAAGCTATCAAAGAAGTAACAGAAACTACTTCTCAACTTTCTACAGAATTTCTATTGCAGCACTATTCTAGAAACTAAAGGATAAAAGAGAATTTCACTTAAAAAAGCTCAAGTTCAGCTTGAATGACAGAATATTAACTTCAGTATTCCTGATGACTACTACTCTGGGATTCTCATACACATARATTCATGACGTATTTGTGAGAATAYTACAAATTCATTCTGAACATTCCAAATAAACAATAGTCTCACCAATCCTACTAGCATCTTTGGAGCAACTAAAAAGGGTTTTTCAAGGTTTTATAGTTCTTTTATCTTCACCTGAAACAAATGTAARTAACCTTCAAGTTTAAGAATCCAAATTAAGCTTCAAAGTAATGTCAGTCCTTGCACATATACAAGCAATCACAACATTTGAAGGAAATCAGTGTCATTCTGTCAGTGGGAAGATAAATTCAACMGCTAGGAAAGCTGTGGACACTTTACTAAAATGGACTTCAAAAATACTATTTAAGTTTTACCTTTTTAGAGATTTATTAACCTAATCAGCCACAAATATCAAATGAAAACAGAAAGATTCATTGGCTAGGAGGAAAAGATGCTTCTGAAACTGGAATGAGATARCACAAAAAAGTTAAACACAAGTTAATGTTGTGAATGCTCTCAATAAMYCCAGAAATATCAGTACCTGGATGCCAGTTGAGAAAAGTCAAAGGTCTGTGATCTGACCACTGCCAACCTCCAGAAACGTCCAGTTGATTTAAGCCAATCCAGAATATCTCAGCAATGTCATCCTTGGCTAGAGATTTTTTTTAAAAAGAAAACTATTAATATAAAATGCTCAGTCTTTATTGTTCTCCTTTAAATTAAAAATGAGATCTGAAAAGGCATGCATTTCAGGAAAGAAAGATTGCTACTATAAYTGGACATCCTAACTTTCTTGAACTGAGAATGAATCTATCCAYACTAGCTTTCCCTCCCAATGCCTTCAGATGTTTCTCCTTTGGTTTTCTAGTCCCAAAGGCACTTAAACAATTTCTCCAGGTCAAGACTGAACATCAGTGAGTACAAYTTCATAACAAGAGAGTAACATGCTGCTAAAACACAAACTGCCACTCTGACCTGTATTTGATATTTTGGGAACATTCTCATTAACAATATGAAAAACAGCTAACTGTTGCAATGAAATTATGCAGAAAAATTTAAATAACATCCTAAAGGGAGATTAGCAGCTTTGCTACACAAAGGAAAGCCAAAATATTTAAAGTACAATCAAGTTTTAACCCAGAGTTTTAGGACAGAAACTAAAGCTCCCTCTACTTTATASAGATTTCCCAATATTCACATGCAAATAATGACACCTACCTTGTATGTAACTTAATTCAGACGCATTTTGGATGCTAAGTAAATCTCCTCCTTGCCTYTGACATGAAATATAAGCTTCCTTCCAAGAAAGGGCAGACTGTGTATTAAACTGGTAGCAATTTTCAGACCCTGGATCACGTTCCCAGGTATCATGACAACCATCCTCTGTTCAAAGGAAGCAGAAGGTACTTGTAACTACAACTACATGGAAACATTAAGAATGTTTCAAAAGAAAAAGTTTTGAATATAATACTGAAGGTCTACTGATCTTCATATTGGCCATCACAAACACTTGCAGTTAAGCCAACACTGCAACAGAAAAGCTTTTACACAGTCTAAGAGCAAAACCAGGGTAGAGCTGTATATATCAGAAGGGACAGAATGCTTTTAGGACATCTATTTAAAACYCAACATGCCTGGCTGTAAGCAGATTCCCCATTTTCCATCGCGAGAATAATCTTCAGAAGTGGCGCACCACTTCCCACCCGCATGAGTTTCATCCTGAATGCAGTCATGATGCCAAACCTTGTTATACAGGAAGGGGAACTCACAGGGTTTACCATAAGAGTTGCCATCTTTGGTGTAAACCTCTGCAGGGAAAAAAAAAAAAAAANAAAAAAAAAAAAAAAGAAGTAAAATAAAGAAGTAAATACATCCCCCTTGCTTAGGCATGGAAAGGACAGCAGAACAGTACAGAAATATTTAACCTAAAAGCATGCAAATCACACTTGTGGACTTAAAGTACCATATCTTCTTGTTACAGGTAACATATAGCGATGCCAAAATTGAAATAAATTAGATAAARACAAATAATTTTCTGTACTATTTCTTCCAAGAAACAGCAGAAACGCATCTCCCTCATCCTGTTAAGTTACAGATAATTCATCATCCGATTGAAATCCAGGTGGTTTGCACAGTCCTACAGAACAAGGACTCTAAGAATCAATATATACAGTCGAGGGAAAAGGTAAAGCACATTTTCACCTCTTCTTCCAGCAAGCATGGTATTTCAGACAAGACTGGCTTCCATGGAAAGTATACACACTACCATATCAAAGCTCACAGCTGGCATCATGCTCTGAATTTGTACAGCCTACCAGCCAAGAAAACATCCTCAGACCCTGCTAACAGGAAAATTCCCCTCATGCTGAGGAGGACAGTGTCAGTTCTGATAGAAGGTGGCTGGTATTTCATAATTAAATAGGWTTGCACTGAAATATGGGGGCAGAGGGATTTAAACAGCTAAGAAAACCACTCAGTAACACATCTGCAGTTGTGCATAGTTATTTTTAACTAAAAACCTTTAAAGTTCATTATTTGAGTATTAGTGTCTCTGCAGCACTACATTCTATTGCTTTACTGATCAGTCTTTTTAAGAACTTATTGGTACACACACACTCAAAAAGCCCTTAACAAATAAAAAATCTCCAAAGCCCTGTGCAAACTTACTTACCATGGTAGGGATACTGACATACATCACTGGAGGAATTGTTGCTTCTCCACTGGTCTGTTGCATTTATGCTTGCAGTCACATAGTTATTCTTGATAGTCACTTTGTACTGAGATGCACCAATGATGGAAGCATCAGCACATCGCCACCACAGCATTAATTCTGAGTTACAATCAACCATTTTCAGGCGAGACACTGATTTGGTGAATATATCAAGTCCCAGGCACTGCTTGGACCCCAAGTGAAAGAGGCGATTCTGGGATACCCATTTCCATAAAGCTTCACTTGTGTCCCTGCAGTCATCTATCACTATCAGCGATTTTTGAACTTGTATGCACTTGTTCTGTTTATCATGGCGAATGGTAAAARCATCATTGCCTGTATAAGAACAAACAAATATCCACATGTGTCTATGATTCAGTATCATTTTCACAGGAAGATCATTTTTAAAAGGGTAAACACATTCTGAGAAAAGCTATCAGAAAAGTGCAGCAGCTGCCGTTATACGTTAAACCACCTGGCTCATATAAGCCACAGTCAGAACCTTTTCCTGCTCTTTAGTGAGTATTCTTAACTTCTGGGGGAAAAGAACTCTTTCAAAGTCTATAAAATTATGAGAGACAAAATGAGAATTCTAAGCCCAGTTCTAATGATGAGAATTATTCTTCTATATCTAACACATACTGATTGCRTCAGCCCTTGTTAAATTTGCAGGCTTACATGGTAAAGAATCTTGTCTTTTTGCCTATATGCAAACACAGTAACACACACACAACAGACATCATAAAATATAATTAATAACAATATTCACTTAGTAAGCACTTTTTWAAAAACTGCGTATCATATCATGAAAGGTTGGCATGTGAACCAGTTTGTGGGCACAACTGCAGTATTGTTAAGTTAATTGGCAGTGCTTTGAGGAGGGAGTTTTAGAATGAGTATCCCACCAGAGAGCACACAACAGATTAGGAGTATAATTTTGAAAATCACATGGGGACCTTAGTTTCATTTTCAGTTCTGGCACAGTGTGTCATTAAAGAGAAAAATGGAGGCTGATAAAGCATAGTCTACCATTTAAAAAATATAAGGATCACCATTCTAATACAAGCTAACACCTCTGCCGGTATGAGAACCACTTCTGACAACCAGCAGTAGGTTTATGGTAACCATGAAAAAATGCCCTAGAATGATTTCTATGCCACACTAAAGATGGCTGCACGGTATAAACTTTCACTAATCAGGCTGAAATGGACCTTGGCTGTCCCAGGCCCACAAGGCCACTACTCTTCTGATTAAATAAGGAATCTGCTGAGCAGTACTTTGTATTTAATAGTAATGCACTGTCAATCACATTCCTACTGCRTTTTTCTGTTATGACTTACTCATGGATTTGGCTGAACAGGAARGAAAACAGTGATGTAATGCAGTGAATTTTGCCACTAGTTCCCACTATACCCACGAATTTTCCACTGTGTAAGCACCAAACAGTATTTAAATAGTACCTACCAGATCACACCATAAAAATCTGTAAGTCAGCCACCTATTACAGTGGCTTGTTTAGGTAGCACACTTCTACCATCTCTTCCATCCTACTAAGACATTTTAACAAACAAACCTGCTTTTGTGAAATCCTGTAACCCTGCACTTTTCCAGCGCTATATCTGCTTTTGCTTTTTATTCTTTCCTCATTACTTTCTTCCTCATTTTCATTTCTCGTAACAGGTTTTCAGCGTCTTCTCATATATGCTTTCACTTTTGCCTTAACCCTCATGCTGGTATCAAGCAGCAAATAACTTTAAAATTTCCCTGGGAAAACTGATGACCAAATCTTACTATGCAGCAATTTATTAACAATAATTCCAGTTCAACACTCTGGCCACAAAGTTTTACTGACATCTTCGGCTAACAACCTGAGCCTGTTACTATCCTAGGATATAAAAAACACGTGCAGCCTAACTTAGCGCAGAGGTCAACTTGTTTCCCCGCAGCTGTGACCAMGCTAGTGGCTTTGGCTTGCAAGAATTTGCTCAACGTGAAACTTTTCCACCTGCGTTCTGTCGGACAGGGCAAGCCTCCTTGACTGCGCATACAGCAGCGGGTAACAGCGACGGCGGGACGGGAAGTGCCGGGCTCGGCTTATTCCTGTCCCCGAGCAGTCGGGCCAAAGGCCGCGGCCCAGCCCGGGGCGGCCCCGGCTCCGCGGGCACCGGGAACGTGGCAGCCGCGGGCGGCGGGGCAGCGGAGGCTTTCGCGACGCCCCAGGCGAAGCGCACAGTCAGGACGGGAGCTCCGGGGCTTTTTCCTGCCTTCTTCGTTCCTCCTTGTAAGTTTCCCAGGTTGTTTTCACGCAGTTGGACTTCACCGCCGAGCACAGCTCCCGCAGGAGCCGCCGGGGCGGAAGGCCCGTCACGGCACCCCCTCACCCTCACCGCTCAAGGACCCTCCGCGCCCGTAGCGCACCCGCGTCCCCTCGCCCGGCGGGCGCCCGGCTTACCTGCGGGGTCCCGGCGGGCCGCGCAGCACAGCAGGAGCCAGGCGAGGCCGCAGGCGCGCAGGCAGCGCCCGGCACCCGCCATCGTCCCCCGCGGCGCGCAGGCTGCGCGGAGCGGCCGCGCTGCCGGGCTCGCTGTGCCCGAGCGCCTCGCCCGCCGCCGGCTGCACCTCCGCCGGCGCCGCCCCATTGGCCGCCCCGCCGCGCGTCACTTGTTGCCAGGAGGAAAGCGGCCCCCGGAGCTGGGGCGAGGCGGGGCCGGCCCGGCGGCAGCGGGGCTGCGGCGGGGGAAGCGAAGGCGCGGGCGAAAACAGGAGCGTGAGGCTGAAGGGGAAATGCGGCGAGGAAAAGAAAGGAAAAAAGGAGGAAAAGTAAGCGGGGGAAATAAAGGAATTTTAAAAAAGGGGAAAACCCGAGGAAGAACTAGAAAAGCAAATAGAATTGTCGCATGCTCATTGAAGTTAAAACTAAAAAAAAATTTTTTGAGAAGCTCAGTTGGGGAAAAAAAGGGAAAATGTAAGTGCTAGAAGTGAAGGCAAAAGGTGAACAGAACGATCTAAAATTAACAAACACACTGAAGTAAAATATTTGAAACGGTACAAATTAYACGCATCACGCTGTGCTCCTCGTTCCCCTCTGGTCGCGGGGCCGCACGCCATCCCCGAGGCAGGGGCTGCTAAAATCGCGACTGTCTGAGCCGTGCTTGCCGCGGATGTGGCAGGACGGGATGGGACTGTGCGCGGTTGAAGTTAACTGGTGCTGAGAAAATGTTGAGGTTGGCTCCAGGAAGTTAGAGAAACCAAAAGTTAAAACAYGTACATGACGAGAACCAGTTGGCCTGAGCGAGGTAAAGAGAAAGAAGGGGAAACTGATAGAAGCTATGTGAAATAAAATCATATTTATTARCTGCATGCTGGGTGAATCAATGCTTACCTGGACAGGTTGTATAGCTCGAGCTCCAGCTGTTACAAAATTATTTGCAAAGTCACAAGAAAAAAAAAAAACCACATTTTTTTCCTAGGAAAATCTGTTTTTATTAGACTTGGAAGAGCAGTTGTTCAGGGAAAGAAATACTRGATTTACATAGATGGGAAATGCAATGTGCAGTCTGTTTATATGCTTCCAATGTGCTCATCATAYAGGAATGAGTACACCTTGGGACACAGGATTTGAGGGTATGCCAGGCTGGGAATTGAACGGAAAGGCAGTAAACAAAAGCAGGCACCTGCAACTTAACAAATGTTCTCTCCTGCTGGAAACCACATAGTAGCACATGGCTGCCAAGGGAGGAGCTATTTGAAAAATCAGAAATCAGGTTCAGGAAAAAAGGASTCTGTAGATGTAGCAAAATCAAAGCTACCAGAAATAATTCATCTTCAGGAAGAGCAAAGCTTTAAAGTCTCCACACAGAGAGTGGGAGGCAGAAATTACCCACTGGTGAGCCTGATACAAAAGCAAGCTATTGCAACTAAAATTAAATATGTGGTGGGATGATGTGTCTCTTTTAAAATAAAACAAGAAGCAGGTGTTAACCCTGCGTTCCCATGAATCTTTCCAAATGTATGTTATTAGTGTTCTAATAACTAATTAGCTAATCAGAACTAATTAGTTCTGACTGTCCCAGTTTGGGTATGGTGAGTAGTTTAACTTTGAAATTAACAGCATGCAGGGCATATTTAYTGAAGATATACCAGCGATTCTGAAATTAACAGCATCCTGCTTACCACACATGTATCAGCAAATACGTGTGTTAACAGAGACAACGTTTTCTAAGGCATCTTAACATATGTAACATATGCTTTCAGAGATACACTTCTGATTTGAGGTACTTTTTTGTTTATTTGTTGATGAAATACTGTCTTTGCTAATACAGAWTCAGACCCTGATCCTGACTCAMAAATTAAAGAATGCCCAAGAATATSAAAAAWTGTTTGCTTTGGTGCTTCATAGTTTCAGTTTTGTGTTTATGTACACATCCTGTACTTAAATTCTGTCATACATTAATGTAAGAGAAGATACAAAATGTACAGCCCTGGTGAACCCACCAACCAATCAAAATTTTGGAAAGAACATGCAGGAAAAAAAGAGAAATTTGGTGTATGTCATGTGAGAACCTATGAAACTCTAATACAGTCTTCTGTTATTGAAAARGTGGTTTTGTACTAAAGCTTATCAAAATTGTGACAATGACAAAGCCTACTTCTTACAGGACTTATCCTTTATTAAGGAGGCTTCTGCGCTTAATGTGAGCTGCACAGCAGCATTACTCACAGCACAATCAGTGAGCAGTTTCTGTATTGCAAGTCACAAACAGTATACATCCCCATGAATACCTACAGCTCGCTTGAAAGCACAGCTAATGGCTGAGCAAATTTCAACCATGCCTGCAGAGATAACCAAATACAGAATTTCAGATAYCAAAGGGGCCCARCCAMAGAGCTGACAGTAATGCACAGCAGCCTTYTGCTTCCAAGAAGACTACTTTGYCTTTCCAATCAAAAMGYCYTTCAAGGTGCCAACATCATGACTAAGAGCCTTGTATTTCTAGCAGGAGTCTTTGTTGCTTATCAACAGATCATTTTTTTGCCCTTATTGCCCATGTGTTTATAACAATAGCAATGCCTGCAGAGTGTCAACACCTGTCTATCCGTAAATCTCCACTTATCTCTCTTCTGCTCACCACATGAAATAGATACTTTGCATGGGCAACCTTCCTCCTCTTACATTCAACACATTATAATCCAGTTTTTCTGGCTGAGTGCATCCACATGTGCCAATGTGCACAAAGGGAATGGTGGAAAAGGATTTGCTACCTCCAGTAACTTGAGAGAGAGAGAGTCTGGACATGGTAACTTCTGCTTTTCTCTGCTTCCCCCAGCAATGACTTCGAAACTGGGACATCTGAAAAAGTTTCACTAGTTATTTATTACATTTTTAACCTCGCAACATTGGTGCTTACAATACCTTACTGAATMCCTACATCCTTACAGGAAAAACAAAAACAAAATCAACCAAACYCAGCAGCCATGTGAAGGCTTACAAGAGTTACCGGAGCAGTTATTTCCTGACTCTTTCCAAGGACTATTTCCAGGACTATTTCCAAGAAAGTGATGGTACCCACAAAGCAGCCAGCAGTCAAAGATTTCAATTGTACCTGGATTCTGTTGCTGAGTATAATATTAGAACATGGCTCTKGTTTGAGTAAAGTGCCTGCTAATCATCTAAAATATCAGCCCTGGACATGTTTAAAGATAGTTTAACAGAAAAACTGGACAATTGCAACTTTTACCAYAAACATGGCTAAAAGCCAAGTGCTTACTTTTTGACAGATAAACAGGTTTAATTTGATGAAGTTGATCGCATGCATGGCCACGAAAAAAGTCACTAAAATGCAAAAGAGGTGGGGGGGCGGGTACGACAAGCATTTAGCAAATTTATTTGGATAAAGAGACACTGTATCCAGAGAGGTCTTTAAGCAGTAACTTAACTTAGTTTTGCATTGACTCCACCTGCATGGTCTTTTCTTCTTGGACACTTAATTTGCTGCCTTGTTTTTTWAAATGGATATTGAGGACTTAATTATTTTTAAACATCAAAGAATGTTGTGCTTTTAGCAAAAAGGGAACACAAAGGAAAATGGCTTTTCAATGTTGTTGCTCTAGATTTCCTGTTTCCAGTGGCAGTGGCCTAACCTTTTAGCACATTGTGAAACTGTTGTATTGCACAGTAAACTTAGGATGGAATCAAATGCTCTCTCAGCTGAGTTTATATGTGTTTCTTACATCTCTTCTACAATCTCTGTATGAATCTTTGGCATAAGTCCCAAAGTTTTGAGGTTTTTATTGTGCGTGAAGAGTTTATTATTGCTAGGGACCCTTGCATTTGACTCTCTTTAAGTATCCCCATTCACAATAAATAACTAGATGTTATTATAGCATTTTAGAACTGTTCTGTTTTGCTCAGTGCACGTGGTAAGTAACTTTCAGAAATAATAAAAAGAATTACAGACCTTCCTTCTAATACCAAGCTCCTTTTTTACTCAAATATGACAGTGGCAACTTCTGTAGTGCTGCCTCCAGCTCTGCCCTGATGCATATTCCAACATTCATATTCAGGCCTACTGAAATACTACAGAGAGATTTGGGAAATAAGACAAAGAAWGGAGTGTGGACACATCCACATTGCGTGTTTGTTGATAGCAAGGAACGTCTTTCTCTGGGTGTTGGTTTGACTTTGACTCCTGCTAGGATCTCTGTGTGCTCCTGGAACAATAACAAAATTATATAAGCAGTACTTTAACATTGAGACAACTGCTTGAAATTGTAAAATGGTAAATTATATTCTTCTGTAGCACTTTAAAAAAGGGTCTCTGACACCTGTACTGTGCATTTTTAACAGAAATTATGCCTTGGTTTAGTAGTTCTACTGGCAGAGTTTATATGCTCARTATCCTCAAAAGCTGTTTTCTGTTGTCACTGTGCCAGCGTGGGATTGCTACTCAAATAATGATTGTGGGAAATGGCAAATAAGATGATATTTTGTACCATGTTACATTTGTTGTAAAAAAAAAAAAAAAATCATTCAAAGGAATGGTTTAAAAGAAAATCAGTTATCATATGGAAAACTGTTTTTAAGCAAATAAAAATCAATTCAGGTAGAAGAGTTTTAATTTTAAATAAGAAAGGTTGTTTGTTTGTTTGTTTGTTTGTTTGTTTGTTTTCTTTAAACATGCAAAGCAGAACAATTCCCTAAAAATGCTGGGGAAGAGCCTGCAGTTTTGGGTCTCACATGTTTTGGAAGCAGAATTCATCCTTGACTAGTAGCAATCTCTAAAATTTCCCCAGTGCCTTATGTTTGACCAGAAAGGAGCAAACTTTCAACAAGCCGATGAGAGAATGGATTAAAGAGCAAAATTTAGATTGATCTGAACTTGGGAGTACTTCTAAGATAAAAAAATCTGTATGGATACAGTGGACTCACTGGGGGCTGAACTGCTGGCATTTAAAGGTTGTGATTGATGAAGATATAAACTGAGTGGCAGCAGGAGTGGGAAACACACARTTCTATGTGCCTTCAGCAAAKGTTTGGAAATTGTGYCTTCCTGAATGCGGGAGAGGC